TTGCATCTCCAATTCATAGAGACTCATTCTTTTTACCATAATGCAGTTAGAAATTTTTAAGAATTTAATGTCAAGTACTTTAAAATCACTTGTGAGTAGAAATATTTACTGTTACACTACAGAAAAAAATTTCTGAACTAAATATTCAGTCAGAAAAACACTTACACGGACAGGCGTGTGGGGTGTGTCATACCCCAATTCCAACAAAATGCTGATAAATCTTTTTCTGAAACACACAGGCAAAGATAAAGTGGTTCTGAAAGTCAACCACAACTAGAAACTCAGCTACTGAAAGCAGCACAGAATTTCAGTTTCACAAGTTAGGACTATTCCACTTTTATGTAGGGTTGGGGTATGATACACCCCATGCGCTTTCCTGCGGGTTAAAAGGGAGGTCATCCTTACCAACATATCTATTGCAGCGACGTGGAAGTTCATTGTTCATATAACAACAAACTTGAAGGTTCCAATGAAGGGGTGCTCCAACCTGTTGGAAGCCAAATCCCAGGCATCAGTAGTCAAGTGGGAACCACCACAACTGCAGCATACCCAGATAACTTGCACTGTTCATAGTCTTTTTACACTGGTGGGTTAGCTGTTATTTTTAAATATTATTTATATTTGTACATGTAGTACTTTTGAATTTAAAGTGTTTTGAAAATGAATGAATTTTTCACAGTAGCCCTGCATGTAGCCTTACAATTGTGCATATCAAAAGTAGATAATTTAGTATATATATATATATATATATATATAATATATATATGGTTAAAGGTGGTAAACATAATTAGTTGTGAGTTTCCACTGAAACCAGAATAGTCATTAATGCTAAAATATAAGCATTGTCAACATATTTAACCCCAGGAAACTGAGAAAATCATTTTGCACCACCTTAATTTCATGGAAAATGTCTCTCTCTGCAGAGTAATTCCAAATTAAAGTCTAAGCACTGTGTGCTAAATGTTCGATAAACAAGCTTATAGACTGCCCTTACCATGTGACATTGAGAAACAAAATAAAACCAGAATTTTAACAAATGGAGATAATGATTTATTTCATTCATTTTTTAGTTTCTTATTTGATTTTAAAATAATAAAATTAATGTCTTTTTTTCAGTTAGCGTAACTAAGTCCTTCAGGATATTGCATTTCATTGTTGTTCAAAAATTAAAAGACTTAAAATATTGTGTTATAACTAAAAAAAGTAATTTATTCCATTCAGCTCTTGCATTTTTTAATATTGAAAATACATTACAAGATATTTGTCGCGCTTTCTTGGCATGCCTTCGTGGTGCAATGGTCAGCACACTTGGTGCATTCTCTGTGGTTTGAGTCCCTTTTTGGGTCATTGCTCGTTTATTCAATTTCCCACATTAAAAAAAAAAAAAAAAAAAAAAAAAAAAAAAAAAAAAAAAAACTACAGTGGCAGCCGAACTAAGAAAGTGGTGTATAATGATTCTTCATCGCCAGGATTTGGTGATTGGCTCCTCTAATCCCCAGTTTTCCTGTAAAAGGGGGAGTATATAAGGTATTTCTCCTGCCTTGTAGTGTAATGGTCAGCAAACTTGGCACGTATTCGAGAGGTCTGTGGTTTGAGTCCTGGCAAGGGCATTGCTCATTTTTCATCTCTCCTTACATAACCTAATGTCTCTACAACATATAATTACACTTAGCCATATAAAATTTTAAGTAACTGCACAATGATATTTTTTGTTTTCATAGTACACACAGGGTTCGTAGCGGTCCTTATAAGTGCTTATAAGTCCTTACATTTGAAAATAAAATATAAAGGCCCTTATAGGTACTTACTTTTTCTTTAAAGTCCTTATTTTTTTGTTTTTAGTGCTTATTTTTTGCTTTTAGTGCTTTTTTTTAAATGAATGCGCAATTTTTCCCCGTACCAAAGCCGAAACTAAATAAACAACTTTTCTTCCTAATATGGAATGTCAGATGGTGAATCATACGCCCGGAAATAGCTTTTCCCCCTCTCTCTGCATTCACGTTTGGTGTGCGCGGAGAGTATAGACAGGTGCCCGTCGTTCTGTTGGTCAAAGAATTGCGAAAGCAGTAGAAAATTTCGGTACATTCGGCATTCTTTTCCTCCCACCCAAATACTACACACGTTTGAATTTCTATCAAGATCTTAAAAATTTGCATTCTCGTTCCGCTTGGTCAGTTCATATTCTTGTTTATTATGATCGTTATGCTTATATTATGAGCATATGTATGAATGTTTATAATAACATAGTTGCAGTAACTGCTGAAGTTATAGTAAACTTCCGAAAATGGTTGTGTTTTAACACCGATTAGCTTTCTAAGGACTAATATTCAGAATGGCTTAAATAAAGGGAAAGTAATCGAATAGTGAAAATAATTTCATTTTTTTGGCCAATACATTATACAGTATGAAGGTTGGGAGGTTCTCTCCTTTCTCCGCAAAATCTTGAATATTGAAACTGTTACAGTTCGCTACAAAACAAGCAACAGACCTCTTTTTTTTTTCTTTTCTTTCTTTTTTCTTTTTTTTTTTTTTTTTTTTTTTTTTTTTCTTTTTTTTCTTTTTTTCTTTTTTTTTTTTTTGTCACTTTCCAATCTGGATTGAATAGGACTAAAAGTTCTGCGGTCTACCAACCCAAGCGAAGAATGATTCTATTCCGGAAATTTAACGCAGTCTGTTGAAAATTAGAATGAAAAACACCCCAGATTGGTAAGTCTCTTTCTTTTCCTTTATTTAGTTCTTTATTCTCCCAATACCGACAGCTGTTGAATCCGATTCTGTAATATCATGTAGGGAAGAATTAAGGTGCAACGTTTGCGATATTTTGCAGAGATAATTAATTTTGATGTTCGGTCTGAGATTTGTTTATGAACACTTAAAAGAGTTTTACTATGCTTGCGAAGCAGAATATTTTTCTGTTCCATTGATTTGCTTTTATGTGATGCACATATCGAAATGTCAAAAGCATTTATTTAGCGGAAAAATCTAAAGAATGGCTACAGTCTATTCCCCTCCCCTCCGCTCCTCTTTTTTAAGTTATGCTCGACTGTTCGAATATTCGCCAATTTTCAAGTATGCAGGTAGTTAAGCTTTTACTGTTAAAGGATGACTGCATGAAGCAAATTTCTGTCTTCTGATTTCAGAAATGTTCCTCTTTTTTACTTAAATTACATTGCTTGCAATATCTGTTAAGGGAAAACTGATATACAATGAAAATTTAGAAAATGTTCAGAATTTAGATTTAAATTATTTAAATATCAATACGAGTGGAAAAATAAATTGTATTTATTATTAAGTTTCAAGCGAGTAGAATAAATATGCCTTATTATTATTTATTTCCTCTATTTTGAACTGAAATTTCATCATTAAATCTTGTAATATAGTTTAGTTCTGCATAGTTTTTTTTCCTCTCATTGTAAACTAGTTCTGTAAACTGAACTGTTATTTAAAATTAAAAAAAAAAGTAATTATTTTCCATGGTTGAGGTAATGCTTATTCTCTCTTAATAAATACTGCATTTCTCATATTTTAAAATACGAGTCTAATTTTTAAGGTTATGCAATTGTGTATAATGTAATTAGACAGGTGCTTATTTTTTTTCTTAAAATGTGCTTGAAAAGTGCTTATTTTTTGAACTAAAATGTGGCTATGAACCCTGTACACAAAATAAATAAATGAAAATAATAAATAAAATTTCAAGATTTATCATCAAAGCATGATAGCTAATCACTTAATCAGAAAACGGTAAAGCTTATTTTTGACTTAATAAAAAAGAGAACGATAAAATATATAAACAGACAATTTCGAGAAATCAGACTAAAGTATTCTATTTATTATAACAGTCATTATTATATTTTACATTGATAAAAACCATTTTTATTCCTATGCCATTTTGTCCTTTTATTCGTGTAGCCTTTTATGATCAATGTGTGCTTTCATCAGTGTAGGTATTTGTCATATGAGCAATTATCACAGTGGGGTTATTTTTATGGTCTTTTGTCCATTAGGCTTTTATCAGGTAAACTAGATAATCGTGCGGTTACATGAAATGCACTTTCCTGTCAACCATTTAAAATTGCCACCACAAAAGGCTGATGTGCCAGTCGGGGCTATAGCTGATTAAGCTGTATGACTAGGGTGGCCCAGACTAACTTGGGGGGAAAAAAAAAAAAAAAAAAAAAGACTGATAAAAGTCTATTTGTCTAGTGGAAAATATATGGATAGGCTTTTGCCAAAGTAAATGATTTTGAGGACGAATGAAAGTTTACTTGTGTAACTTTTGGATAGAGGTGCTGAATGCCTAATGAAGATGATAAAATAACCTGTTCATGAAGAAAATATAATATATTCATATTGTTGATGGATGGACATAACAAAATGATGGATAAGGCAGTTTTACAATGAATCGTAAATGGAGTTTTACTGATTCAATATCTGGTATGCTTGCACAGAAATTCAAACCGCTTTAGAATTTTACAAATGGTATAACACTTTCCAACCTGTGGATTCTTGTCTGTGAGAATTTATGTGTCAGCAATACATAGGACAAGATGAAGTATTTGAGTATCTGATAGCAGCAGTTACTAAAAATTAAGTGTTGCTCTTCCCCTTTTTTAAGGTTTACCAGCACCTTCTGGTTTCCACTGAAGTTAGTTTTAAATGCTGCCAAAGGCCTATCTAATAAACTTTAATAAAGGAGTTCCTTTATATATGTTAAATGTAAGACAAAATTGTTAGCTAATAATTATACTGACAAGTTTCTCTGTACATGGCAATTAAAAGTTACATTGTGGAATTAACGGGAGAGTACATCTTTTTTTAATATTTTGACTTGTAGAAAAACCAATTACATCAACATGTTATTGTCAAATATAAATTAAATCTTTTTTTAAAATGTTAGAATTGAAGTTTTTCACTTGCATATTATTTATTAATGTTGAAAATTGTCTTTCATAAAACTTAAAGTGTAATATTTTATTTCATTAAATTCTTACTTTTTATAGTATGGAGTTGGGTGAACCAGTGACAGTAAAAACAGCAGCTAATGACTTCAGACAAATTTGTTACAATTACAGAGAATCCTTAAGTGCTGGTATAATTGTTGCAGGCTGGGATAGAAAGCTTGGAGGCCAAGTAAGAGAATAAACTTTCTTTATTTTATGATCTGTCACTATGTTTATATTATTACTTTTATGTGTTAATAATTAGGGAATTTTAAATGTAAAAAAAAAAAATTTTAATGAAAGGCCATCCTAGATGGTTCACTGATCATCAGTGAAGGCTGACAGAGAGCCTGAAAACAATGGTAAGGATTCAACTCCTTCATAAAGCTTAGTGTTATGTGTATTTGCAGCTGTATTATCAGTTACATCTTCTTATACATCCTGAGCAAAATTGTCAGTAATGAGATAATTAAGATGACATGACAGATGAAATCAGCCAATATTGATGAATGCTTCAGAAATGTTTGGCCATTTGAAAAAAAATTATGAAACTCGCAATGTATTTTATACAAATTAAAGTTTCAGTAGGATATGCAAATTAAAGTGATCAATAGTCATTCATATGATTTTAGAAAAAACAGGATATCCCCATGAAATTCAAGATTGTTGAAGTTTTTCTGACTTCCACGAGACTAAATATAATGAACTAGTAATTAAAATAAGTGTGCGTAACTGAATTCTTTTATGCATATACTGTAAAATATTGTGAAATGACTAATAATAATTATAAGATCATCAACTATAAAAATTTTGCCTTTTTCATTATTGTAAAGGAATTGAAAGAAATTCATTAAAAATAGATAGGAATTTTTAAAAGAGATGTTAAATTTTGAAAGAAAAGAAATTACAGTTAAACCTTGTTATAATGAATTCCTGAAAATAACTAACATTTTAATCTCACCGGATTTCCTTTATATTTAATATTATTTTATACTCTTACAATAAACCTCCGAAATTATGAAAGTTGTGTATAATCAACTGTATGGATGTCTTTCATTAAAACGTTTTTTGATATTTTTTCCAGAATTTGTGCAAATTTTAATGAAATAATACCAGCCATTAAAGTTATGCATGTTAAGGATATTAGGATCCATATTTCATTTGTAAAGCAGCTATTAAAAAAAAAGGAAAAATAATCTTTAGATTGTTAAATTACTTGTTATTATGAAGATTATTTTTCCATTTTTTTCTACACCCCCATGTTTCTGTGTATCCTAAAGTAAGGCTATTCAAGACAGGTGTGACACCGAATTCTAATAGAATGGGGATGTAGTAAGCATATCTTAGGTCACCATATGATGTACATGACCATTGAACAAAAAGAACCATGAATGATCTCTCTTGTTCCATTCAAATTCTTTGATTGAGCTGCAGAAACCTATTCAAGGCTGAGCTATGATGGAAATTTTGAAAATTCCATTGTGATGGAAAAGAAGAAGTAATGAATCTTTTATCAGCATGTTTACAGTTGATTTTTGTTTTAAGAAATGAACATTTTATATATACTTAGCCATATAGCTTTGGGTATAAATGTTCAAGTTCTATCCTCCAAATGGATTTTATATTCTTCAGGTCATTTATAAGATATAAGATATTCTTTATAAAGATTATTGAATCGTTGCATTGCAGTAATACCCTATCTTGGGGAAAACGATTATGTTTTCTCTATTCATTGGCTAAAAAACATAAATGCCAAAATTAACTCTTTTTCATCGTTTCCAGAAGTCGCCGACAAAACTTGCATATTCTCTTATCCACATACTCTGTTTTTGTGTTGAAAATTATTTCCATTACAAGATATAAATGCAAAGCTTTTGCATATAAGATAGTTTGAATATTATTTGAAGGATACAAAATGGATGCATCCAAATTGTTATCTGCCAGAAATACAGTTGATCCAAATCTTTAGTTGGTACCATGTTAAATATCAAAATTCTGTAATTTCTGCTCATGTGAAAAAATTTGGATAGGAAGAAAACATTGAAAAACATGGAGTATAAGGGTGTTGAAGAAACATTGCTGAAATGTTTCACAGTTCAAAAAAGCCATAATTTACCAATATCTGAACAAATGCTTTGTCATGTACACATTTTAGACTTTGAGTGTAGTATTTGTTTTTAGCAAATTAAATGTGGGATGTATATTCAGTTAAATATTCATTATACAATTAAATATTGATTTTATTTGTCTTATAGGTATATAGTGTGCCTTTGGGAGGTATGATATCCCGTGAAAGCGTTTGTATTGGCGGTTCAGGTAGTGGATATATTTATGGCTTTATTGATGAACATTATAAGCCTGGTATGGATCAGAAGGCTTGCCATGACTTTGTTGCACGTGGTAAGTGAAAGCTGAATTTATTACATCCTAGAATTTTACTTTACAAAATGAATTTGTTCTTTTAATTTTTATTTGTTTTTTATTGCACATTTATGCAGGAAATTTTTTTCTTTTTGCATCTTTGTTTTTATTACATATTTATGCTGATATTTTTTTAAAGAAAGACTGCATAAAGGATTTCAAAATGAGAAATAATTGCAATTTATTTTAATCAAAAATATCTTTATCTATACTAAATAAATTTAAGAAACTTTTTATATCAAAAAGCAGTAGCTTATGATTTGCTTCTGTTGTAGATACTTATGCACTGATAATTTTTGCAAAAATTGTTGAGGTGATGGATTCAAAAATTCAGTGAATAAATTTCAAATAAAATTTCCAGTTAAGGTACATGCAAACTCTCGTATTTCCAAATGTTCATACAGTACAAAATGTGACATCTAGAATTGGAACTTCAGCAATTCCAGTATTAGTACAATTCAGCAATAGTATGACTTGTAGAAATTACAAAATTTAAAATATTCTTTGTTGATATTTCTTTAAAATAGAAATATTGTGTATAAAAGTTTTTTAGACATTTTTTTATTTATGTGAAGTTTAAATGACTCAAAGCGAACATAGTGATAATTTCTGGATTTCAAACTGTATTAGGTTTTTTCTTTTCCATTAATTGATTGATGATTGAGGCTTTGTCATAACAATTGAAAACTTTAGTTGTATCGTCTTCTTTTAAGCATTTCTTCTCACATTCCGAGTTTTTAGTCATGATATCTGAAAACCTTTAAATTCACAGCTTTCATCATTATCATCATGAAATTTGGTTGTTGGCTATATTTTATGCCGAACATTTTTAAAAATATCTGCAGACATTCTGTCTCATGGTCTTCAAATGCCCTGCATATCAGATTTTATGTTAAAATATTTGTAGAATTCTCCAATGCTCTGCATTGGTTTCTAAAAAGCCTACTGTATCTGCATTTCAATGTGCCAAATTCCGATATCCATTGGCTGATTAACAGATGCACAGTTTCTGGGACAGAGTAAAACAAAGATCTTATCATTTATGAAAACTTATCTTGATTATAATTGAATTATTGAATAATAATATCTGGAACAAAATAATTAGCTTATTTAAATCAGGAAGTTAAGGTAGAGTGAATTTGCTTCATTTAACTGAAGTTCCTCAGAATCTAATTCTTTCCCCTTTCCTTGCTGTTATGCCACCAAAGGGAAATTAGTATGAACAAATCCCACTCCAAATAAATCAATCTTGTGCCTTCACTTATTGTCAGGCATTTTTTTACCCTGTACAATCTCTTTGGGTCCTAAATTCTGCTGCCCAGCATTATTGTGCATATGTCAGATGAAAAAATGCTGTCCCTTCACAATTACTAATAGATTGGAAGTATTGTGTGTGTACAGCTGATGTATTGTCATTGGCCAGGGTGTGATTCCCTAGACAACAAGTGTTTGAAAATGACATACAGGAATCTCAGTTAATCATGAGAAAAATTGCTCCTGGGGCACACCTTTCCCCCTTCCCTAGAGTATTATATTCTCCATGCCTAGATTCTGCAAGGGGGAAAAAATTAGAATGGGGCAAGGTCTGGATAATTCCAGATTTCAGACTTTGTACTAAATGTGAGCTTTCATACAAAAACTTTATGGGATGTTAAGATGGAGTTGTGTATTAACCCTTCATTCTGTACATTTTTGAAAGATGTACAGTTGTTCTCAGTGGACTAGATAAATTTTACCTGCCTTCAAAATCACCTGTGGGCTAGAAAAAAAATTATTTTTTCATTTTATTAGCTGGCACCTGCTAATACACTGTTAGTAATCCCACCCTTGGCTGAAGTACGTATCTGCAGATGTGATACTTTCAGGAGAAATAACCCTTTCCAGTGAAATGTTCTTCAGATTACACTTATTTATCTTTTGATAATTTTTACTTCATTTTGTATCATTTATCAGAATTGAAGTATAAATTATCCATTTTTTCTTGGTATGGGGGATTTTGTCAAAAAAATAGAAGTTTTCCATTTTTCATGCTGGGAAATATACACTATGGAAGATATATAAAGGAAATGTCAAAACTGTTAACAATGGTTTAAAATAAAAAGTTGGCAAATAGTTTTTGTTCAAGAGAAAACGACTTGTTTCCTTATTTTAGAAAGTTCGTATGAAGGTAGCTACAGATGCAGTTGTCAAATATTATCATCAGAAACCATAAAATTTTAACTCATCTATTGGGATTTAATATATATTTCATTCTCGAAGAGAGCCGGTAGATTGTTTGCTGTGTAGTGGCAAATACCAACTAATACTTAAGTACCCTTTAAAAATATGTTTTAAATATTTAATTTATTTTCATTTTATGAAGAAGTATGATTCCATCAACCAAAGGCTGCAGTCTCATTATAAAAGTTGACCTTCATTCTAAAGATCAAAACTTCAGATTTAAATATGTTAACTGATTAATTCATGTAAACAAAATGATAGGACTATTAAAAAAAAAAAAAAACCCGAAATAATATTTTAATGGGAATTGGAACAAAGAGGGAAATTACTATCGTAATCAATGTTATATTATTCCATCTTGGCTATATCACTCTCAATACAAATTTTCCTGGAGTAAAAATACAATAATTTCTCATGTTAAACATCTGGAAATTATTCACGACTATAAATCTGAAATTATAAGTTTACTGTGCATCACTGGGAGAAAGGTTATAATGTAATAATACAAGGTCGGATTATTAATTTCCAGGATTGATGTAACTGTAGGAGAACGAAAAGTCGGAAGATGGCGCTAGTGATTGCGTATTGAAGAGTGTTTTCTTGCGCATGTGCAGTGCAATCAGTGACATTCTGAAGTAAGTGGTTCTCGTGGAAAGGCGCATTAAAACATACCTCTTAAATTCCTATTGTCAAAGGGAAAATGAAGCAAAGAATTAACATTAAATTTTGCTTCAAATTGGGGAAGACAGCTGCGGAAACATACGAAATGTTAAAACAAATTTACGGCGAGGAAGTATTATCCTGCTCAAGAACTTTTGAATGATTTAAACGCTTTCGGGATGGGCGCAAAGGCGTCGAAGATGATCCCCACACACAGGTCGGCTGCAGTCCGTATGCACGCCGGCGTACGGTGAACTTATCCGCAACGCTGGTGCTAACCCTGCGTTCCTGGATAGGATAGTCATGGGAGACAAGTCTTTGGTGTTATCAATATGACCCTGAAACCAAGCATCAAAGCTTCGAATGGCGATCTCCAAGTTCACAAAGGCAGAAAAATATTTTGATTTGAAAAGTCCAAAATCAAGGTCATATTAATTGTTTTCTTCGATTACAATGGACTCATTCATCATGAATTTCTTCCTCTTAACATGACTATCAATGGACAGTTCTACACAGAAGTTCTTGACCGACTTTGAAAATAAATTCGTAGAGTGAGGCCTCATTTTCAACAAAATGAGAGTTGGCTGCTGCTACATGACAATGCCCGCCTAGAAATTGCGTTGCCTGTGAGGCGATTCTTAGCCCAGCATGGTGTCGTTGAAATGCAGCATCCACCATACTCTCCAGACCTAGCACCCGCAGACTTTTTCCTGTTTCCTAAGCTGAAAATTCGATGAAGGGAACAAGATTTCAGGATGTCGAAGCCATCAAGAAAACTGTAATGTAACTATTAAAGAGCATTCCAAAAGAGGACTTTAAAACGTTTTTCCAAAATTTGTACAGCTGAGCACAGACGTGCATTATGGCTGATAGGGATTACTTTGAATCATGTTAAATGGCTATGTGTTTAACCTTTTTTCTTCTGAGTTATTCCAAGAGTCCTGGAAAATTATAGTCGGACCTTGTTTGTTATCCTTCATAGAAAATGTAATGATTGAAATCATCATTGAAAATCCATCAATTCATATACATATATTGAAAGTAATATAAAAAGTATGTAAATCAAAATTATAACTTAAATTAATGGTAAGCCTTTAATTCTCTCTGTCTGTTATAAAAACTGTAATAACTTCTCTAGATTGCTTCATTTCTAAATCCATCTTGTATGGCCTGTGCAATGCTGATGATGTAACTCTTGGGAAATGAAACTTTTCTAACCTAACCCAAAACCTTTCTCTTAACAGACTGCCAGACTGGATAAATATGCAGTTAGCTTGCAACTCTGTTGCCACTTGCAATCTGAACTATTTCACTGTGCTTTGTCATGTTGTCATGCTGCTAATTATGTCGTTATTTAAAATGTGATACTCTATATAAAATTGTGGTGTGAATTGTGCTCATGATCATGTGTAGTGAGAAATATGGGGTCGATAATTAGTTCGTGTCCAGCAATAAAGATTTTGTATAGATCAGTATAGATGTCTCTCTGAGTGCCATCTTTCTAATTATGCAGCTGTCTCTCCAAGTACAGTTCAAAGTCCGAGATCCGAATGTCCAATATCCGGAATGATCTAAACTCCGGACCTAAAAAACCATCCCCTCCTTTTTTTTTTTTGTATGCTTTTTGCATGCGCATTTTATTTTTCCCCCGAGGAGAGTTCTGACTCTTAATTTCAATTTGGCACTAAATAAATACATCTTTATTGAAGAAACAATAATTTAGCATAAATCTGAGTGATCAGTAATTTGGCTACGTAGCTGCGTATCTGCTTGGCAAAAATCTCAAACCTAAACATTCAGTAGTCGTACTTCAAACTACTTTGTTGATTTTACGCCTCCAAATATTTTATACCCCTGAAGCCAACTTACAGAATCATTATTTATTATATTTTGCTTTCATCACTGCATGTTTATAAACACATGACAACCTGAGTAGTGACTCGTGCAGCGATGCCCAAGCAATTTTTTTTATATTAGAAATTTAATAATAAAGAGTATGGTAACCCTTTATATTGACATTACGCTTAGCAGTTATTACAGATTCAAGTTCGTTGTGCTTACAAATGCTGATGAGAAAAAATTTAACAAAAATTTCTTTTAATGTGTTTAAAGTAGATTTTGTTAATGATACTCATAGGTTAAGAGATTATATTTAGCGCTATTTGAATTCAGAATAACTGATTTGTTATTCACATAAAGCCAGAACCAGCGTCAAGGCTTGTATAGCTGCACCGGGTGGCAGAATTTCAGTAAAACGAAGTTTTGGAAATTTAAGAGAAGCATCATGCAACAAAATTAAGGGATGAAAACTTTTTTTAAATTTGGGGAAAGCACTGGGATCCAAAATTTAGGGGTGGCAAAAATTTAGAACTTACAGAGGCACTTGGTAGCAGGATTTAGGACCTGCAGAGACTGCATTCAGGCAATAAAATATCTAGTGCCGGCCCTCGGTAAGCCTTTAGTATGTGTGGGAATTTATTTATTCAGAGCTTGGATAAAGCATGTTAAAAAAATAGACATACGTATAGTATAATAAATAACTAAAGTAATACAATTCAGGTTTTCTCATTGAGCGAAAGAAGAAAGACAAAAATTAGGGGAACAAGTCTTTCATTGCCAATCTCATGATACATAGCCAATAATGTATAGCGTGTGCTATTAAGCTCGGCTAAAATTCTTCTTTACTAATTTCAAGAATTTCAGCCAATATAGCAGATTGCTCTGTTCCTTAAGTTTCTGATTTATTATTCCTTAAGTTTAATATTTTTTGCAGGCTCTTTGTATTACAGCAATTTACGAAAATTAAAGTTTCAACTTTCAATTATGTTGAAATAATTCTGGAACTGCAACAGGATCTACAAAGGGAAAACATGTTTCGATATCCATTAAACAAAAAGTGGAATTGCAGCAAAAAATGGGTAAAGGTATATCTGCGTTAAAATCTCGAACAGTATGGCATGGGAAAATCAAATGTATATGACATAAGAAGACTCCAGATACTTTAAAACTGCTTAGCATAATTGATGGCCAGTTACCATATTTCATGGTAGGATGATGAAGATGATAGCTGCGAATTTGAAGGTTTTCGGATATTGCAAACCTAAGGTTAAATTTTCCAATTAATGGATTCCGTTAAGAAATTTAGAGAAACGACAATAAATGAAGATAATATAACAGAAATTTTTTATTGCGATGAAACCCCAGTCATCAATCAATTAATGGATGACAAAATCTGTAGTATGGTTTTTAAAAAAATACCACTACCAATAGTGAAGAAAGTGCCAGAGAGGTTATTGAAAATGAAAAAATTTTTATTGACGACTTAGTTGGAATGCTTGACATGGCAGTTACAGGACTTGAACAATGGAAATTTGTAACTGAACAAGAAATTATGTATGTCTATGGAATTAAAGAAAAAATATTAGCACAAAAAACGATGCAAGTTAAACAATTTACATTGAAAGAAATGTTTAATAAAGTAAAAAATAAATATTTAGCATTTTTCCTTTTTTTTTTTTTTTTTTTTTTTTTTTTTTTTTTTTTTTTGCAAATTTGAATACCCTTTAGATCATAAATCCTTCATTATTTCATAAATCATGATTTCATATTTTTAATTTTATAATTTCTACATGCCATCTTACTAGATTTAAACTTATGATCTAATATCCAGAAAAATCCTAAGTACAGAGTTCCGACAAGTACCAATCTTGAAATTTATACTGTACTAATATACTATAAATACTTATTATTATACAGTCAAAAGTCTTTAATCCGGACTTGTTGGGACTTCAGTGATTCCGGATTATAGATCATCAATTTAAATCTGGTAAGACGACATGCAGAAATTATAAAATTAAAAATATGAAAGCATAATTTATGAAATAAAGAGCAATTATGATCTAAAGGGTATCAAAATTTACCAAAAAAAAAAAAAAAAAAGCTTAATATTAATTTGTTTACGTTATTAAACGTTTCCTTCAATGCGCGCATGCGTAAAGCATACATTACGCATAGTCGAAATTAGAAAATTGCAACCAGAAAACTATTTGATGTGTATTCGTGATATATTTATAATGATGAGGAATTTGATTTAAATCATATCAAAGATGGAGTACATCGAGATGAAATACTACATTTAGTAAGGAATTATAAGCTGAATAAATTAAAAACATCTGACCTGTAGATAAGGCTAGTGCTGACAGATCAACTTCCAATTCTTTGCGCGCCGCGACGTCCCCCCCCCCCCCAGAGCTGCGTGAAATTGATATAAACAGATTTCAGAATGGTTAGAGAAAGTTAGAGCCTTTATCCATTTTTTTCAGCAATTCCACTTTTTGTTTGATGGACATCGAAACATGCTTTCTCTTTGTAGATCCTTTGGTAGCTCCAGAATTGGAAATTCTTTTTGATATAATCGAAAGTTCAAGCTTACTTTTATAAGATTGCTTTAACAGTCTGCAAAAAATAATAAGCCAGATCCAATTCGAAGATTAAGAAACAACGCAATCTGCAACATTAACTGAAATAGATAATTAGTTAATTTTAGCTTAGCTTATACCGTCCGTTATACATTAAACGCGCATGCGTAAAGGTATTATGTGCATGTTTAACGCATTATGCGTTTTTGCATGCGCAGAAAGTTTGTAGCTTTGAGGTCCGGATTATAGATCGTTCCAGATTAAAAAATTTTGACTATATGAAGTCTTTTTGCTCTAACAATATTTTACTCTGTTTTTTAGCCTTGGCCCATGCAATGTGGAGAGATGGATCTAGTGGAGGTGTCATTCGAATAGGTATTATTACTGAAAAAGGCATGGAGAGGCATATGATTTCAGGAGAAAATGTGCCTAAATTTTACATTGGAAAATAATTCTTAATTTTGTATAACTGTGCACTATGTTATATGAAAAGAATAGTTTTGTCTTTTTTTCTGGTGTAATTCATTTGTTTTGATTTTCTGTGTGATTCTTAAAATAATATATATTTAAATTAGTTTTTGAAATTTTATTTCATAAGAAATCAAATACCATACCTCTTCTTTTTTACTATGGACAACCTGAAAGTTAAGCAGTGTAGAAGGGAGAAATAAATTCAAAAATTGGATCCTTAAAAAGTACATATTTCCAATATTATAAGAGGACAAATCGGAAGATTTTTGTAAAAAGTGTAAAATTAATTTTTCAGAAAAAACAGACATGCACTTGACTAATTTGAAACAATTACAAAAGGGAAAACATTTATAAAAAATGAGAAATTAAATAAGTTGAAATGATTTTAAAATAACTACAAGTGCTTTTTAAATTCTGCTAAAAATTATTATTAGATTTTGATTAGGAAACTGTGCTTTAAAACATTTATTATCAGACTTAAATTTTAGAATTAATTTAAAAGAAGACGAAGCATGCAGAAAACAGTAAAAGAAGTTGAACTTGATTCAGCTATTCATTCTAACTCTAGCTGATAAAGCAGATAGGTCACCTGCAAAAACTTTCATTATATATTTAACATGATAAAGAAAACAAATTTAAATGGAAACCAGATGTTTGCTACGAATTTTAGATTTGTGAAGAACTGAAACAGTGATACAATTTTTTGGTTTTGAAAATAAAAATTACTGCATAAGGTCATAAAAATAAAACAATTTTCATAAAATTAAGAAAAGTCATAAGTTGTCAGATATGTAATATTAGTTATTGACGCGTATACTGTTGTCTCAAGAGGATCTAAATCCAATCCCTGAATTCATTATAGCCAAAAGAAATGTTTTTGATGAAATCCTTGGGCTCTTTATGGGGTCACATTCTAATTTTAATTGAGAACAAACACTCCAGGAAAAGAAAAGCCAAGGTCAATGGGGACCATCAGCTTGATGGTATATTAAATACTACCATGTTACAAAAACTATAGACATTTATAAACATCCACACCTTCTCCAAGATTTGAATCTAGCAACATGCCAGCTATTATTGCTAACCACATCAATCAGGAATACAGGTTAATTGATTAAGGAAAAGCAATTCAAAGGCTATTTGTCTGTGGGAGAAATGCCTTTATGGAGAACTTATTTAACAGGATACTGGTTGGCATAGAGAAAACCATAAAAAATCCCATGCAGCCAGCCGATTTTGAGTGCAGGTCGAATTACCCTTGCTCAGTGACTTTATTGCCTGGCTCACTGATCAAGCAAACTTTGGAGATTTTTACTGCTAAAGGATTAAGGATGGAGAAAATTATTATGTGTATTTTTAGTGGCCATAGTATTTGTTGTAACTCGCAGCTAGAGCTGAACGTCAGTTTGACATGAACATTATATGCTTTCAGGAGGAGAAAGTCTACTATCTACAGTACATGCTTATTTTAATACTCATTTTTCTTCTATCAAAGAAAAGAATAAATTATCTTAAATAGAATTTTGAATGATTGATCATAGAATGCACATGCAAAGAATAGCTCACTGAGGAATTTCAAGTGGTTGATCTTGTAGAAATGTCTACTTCGAAAATTCAGAGGCTGAGATTTATGCAAGAAAACCAAAAATGTTTACTAGGAAATGAGAGTTAATATAAAAAATATGTCTGTATTTTTAAATTTTAATGTATTTCCAGTCCTGAAAAAAGTATTCTTAAATGTATTCACGAGAAAGTAATTTTGGTGCAAAGTTTCTCTACATTTGTTCTTACTTAAATACATATTTTATTCTTATAATGTTTATACATAAGTAAAACAAAACTGTACTCAATATTCATTATATAGGGTGCACAAGTAGAATATATATGAGATAAACAGAAAAATTACAGACAATATGAATTCTAATCCTCGTCTTCCGCTATCAGTGACTTTGCCTTAAAGAGCTGAGAAGGAAGGTGAAAGTCTATTCTATCTCTACCAGAATGACCAACAACTGTAAAGGCCCATCCACACGAGTACGCTCACGACATAGTTGATGCAACTTTTTTGACGCCGGCGTAAATTCATATGACGCAGAAGACGTAAAAACTGAGTTCCTTCCTGTTCAGCTTTTACATCCGTAATGTGAACGAACAGCCAATAACTGACTGAGTTCTTATCACGTGTCACAATCAGAAAACCTTCTTGCTTACCATTTTCGATGTGCCATCAGAACCACACAGAGATGAGTTTCTGCTTAAAAATATCGTAACTGTATACAGCAATAAAATAATGAGTATTGTACACGCCATCTTCAGATTTCTCAAACCATATATATTGGTATAAATTTCAAATTCTCATTAAAGGGGAAAACTGTATATTTATAAAGCAACGATCCGACCAGTATATCCATATGCTTCACCTGTTTATAACATCATAAGTAATAGGAACCTAAATAAATTAGTTTCTACGAAATGAAAGTTTCTGCCGTACAAACTTTTCCTTAATTATTATAAATATTGGCTATATCTTGTGTAATAAAAATCTCTATAAATATTCCAATATTAAATACACCAAAGACTAACTTTAGCAATATAACAACTTCTAAAATAAAGCAGTTGACTGTGAAAGAGTGTTCAATAAAATACAATTACAAAATTTTGGAGGAAAGTTACAACTTGTGTCATACAGCAATCATTTATTGAAGTTTAATTAAATTACCTTTGCAGTGACTTCTATTTGTTACATTATTTTTCACAAACACTGCTATCACAGATAGCTGAGTGGTCAGCGCACTGCTTGGCAAATGGAAAGGTGGTGAGTTCGAACCTCACCCGTAGACAGTATACAATTCAGTTAGCTTTTCTCATTTTGAAATGTGTTTCTTATATTTAATCATGAATCGTTATATTCTTATTTTACCTATTATTGTTTTCATTTCTTATTTTATTCATCATTATTATTGTTTTTAATTTAGTTTAAAAATATGCATTGCAACTAGAAACCCTTATGTAATAATATATCTGCACCTCTTTATCATATATCATCTATGCATTATCTCTTTATTTTTACTTTATTGCATATTTTATTGTGCACATAATTTCTCATAAACTGTCTACTCATCCTGAAGTAATTAAAAAACAAGTAATATATATTAAAAAAAAAAGTCAATTCCTACTTAGGTCCACAAAAAATAAATAAAAAATTTTAATATGTGAAAAAGCTGTATTAACATAAAGTGTCATCTACTACAAGTTTAAAAAATTGTATTTGAACTTGAGTGGATGAAAAAGTATTTTATTAACGACTGAAAATTTGAACAAAATATACGGAGAGTGTGAGCTAATACTAGGAATTTAATAATTCCAGATGTTAATTTCGCAAACGAGACAGTAAGGGGAAAAAAAAAAATCTCTTTAAACAGGTCGCTCTGAATAAATCTTTCGGAACAATTCTCATAATTTTTTTTGCGGTTTTGCCTCTGCTTAATGAAGTAAAATTCCAACTATCAAAAAATCATCTGATTCAGGCAATTTGCTGCAAACATATAAAAGCACAGCGAAGTAACAAGATACAGCTCCGTTGAAGCTAAATTAAAGTCCCACGTGATTTTTGCACAAAATAATTCTATTGGTTAAATGCACTCTTCGCAAGTATACTTGTTTGGATGCTTTTCTCTCTGGTAGCGTAAAAGCGTGTTCATCAGCTACGTTTCGAGCATAGTTGTGTGGGCGGGTCTTAAGAAGAGTTAAAGCTGCTCATTGAGGACAAATACGAATTTAATTAGCAGTTGGAATCGGACGAATGTAGAGGCCATGGTTGCTATACACAAGGTCAAACACTGCCTGAACATCATTTAAAAAGGTACAAGATTGAATCAAAATGTTCTGATGGGAATGGGTAAGCCCAGGGCTAAAGAAATTGCTGCAGGTAGACTGTATATTTTCCACTAAGATTTTGCACCAACACACATGATTGTGAAAACTCGGAAGCAACTCAAGAATAATTCATTTAATTATGTTACTCCAAATATGGGGTCTCCAAATTCGACTGCAATCCTGCTGACTATTATGTGTTGGATGCAGTTGCAAGAATCACTAATAAGAGCCTGTAACAACTGAGTTGAGAAAGGGAATCTGTTTTGCATTTTGAGATTTGTCTCTTTGAAGTTAAAATGTACCTGTTCTTCCTTCCAAGGTTGTTTGAAGGATATATGATTTATGAAGGTTTCATTGAATGAATTCAATCTGTAAAACATTACTTTGCTTTTCTTTTTGAAATTTTCAGTAAATTCAAAATGTCCTTGATATATTTTTGATACCAATCCTCTTGCACATTCTGTATATATATTATAGAAGTTTGATACTTTTTCAAGGATCTATGTAGGACTAAAACAAAAAGAAAATGACTTTTGTATAAAACATTTTTATTGTATTTTACATTAAAAATAAATACAAATTATTTCATAAACATCCATAACAGATAAATTGTCAACATCTAAATAATTAAATGCATCAAAATATGTTAGCCATTAGGTCAATGTCTCTTTCTAGAATTTTTAAATATAATATATAAATGTATCAAAAATATAAAAAGTTTTAAACTCTCGTATATATACATTTTTTGAAAGAGATTTCTAACAAGTTGCAAAGGTCCTTAAAATACTGCAGTAATGGCAAAATGCAAAAATATTGCACATTAAATTAATAAAGATCCAGGTACTAAAATAGTCTTTACAATTACGCTTAGTTGAAAAAATCGCAGTCTTCATCTATGTTATGGAAAATTGACTCTAGTGTAAAAATAAGCATATTTCAATTTAGATTATCTGTAATTTGTTTTATTAATAGCAAAAGTTGTTGAAGAAAACATTAGAATGAATTTAAAAATAGTGATTTACATAACTAAAACTGATGCCAGTCTTTAAGAAATTAGAGTTTCAGTTGATCCAAATTATTTATGAGATACTTGGCACTATTAAAATTACAGCACTGCTTATAAAATTTAAGAAGATTATTTAGAGTCTGTAGAAAGATTTTGGATGATGTGATACAGTCAAAAGTCGTTAATTCGGACACCCATAATCCGGACCTCAAAGCTAAAATCTTTCTGCGCATGCGCCGCGTTGACGCATGCTCATAGGCGTTTTACTCGTCCGAGCAAGACATTTACGACTGCGCATATGCGTCTGCGCAAGTGCAGAATACATTTTCGCGTCGGACGGCATAAGCTAAAATTATCTAATTATCTATTTCAGTTAATGTTGATGATTGCGTTGTTCCTTAATCTTCGAATTGGATCCGGCTTATTATTTTTTGCAGACTGTAAGAGCAATTTTATAAAAGTAAGCTTGAACTTTCGATTATGTCAAATAGAATTTCCGATGCTGGAGCTCCCAAAGGATCTAGAAAACGAAAGTATGATTCGACGTCCATCAAACAAAAAACGAATTGCTACAAAAAATGGATAAAGGTATATCCTTTGTTTATCTAACCGTTCCGAAATCTGTTTATCAATTTCACGCTGCTCTGCGGGGGGGGGGGATGTCGCAGAGCGCAATGAACTGGAAGTTGATCTGTCATCACTATCCTCATCTTCAGGCCAGATGTTTTTATTTTATTCGGCTTATAATTCCTTATTAAATGTAGTATTTCATCTCGATGTACTCCATCTTTGATATTATTTAAATCAAATTCCTCGTCATTATAAATATCACGAATACAAATCAAATAGTTTTCTGGTTGCAATTTTCTAATTTCGGCTATGCGTAAGGTACGCATGCGCACGTTGAAAGAAATGTTTAATAAAGTAAACAAATAAATATTAAGCTTCTTTTTTTGTAAATTTTGATACCCTTTAGATCATAATTGCTCATTATTTTATAAATTACGGCTTCATATTTTTAATTTTATAATTTCTGCATGCCATCTTGCCAGATTTAGACTGATGATCTATAATCTGGAATCGCCGAAGTCCCGACGAGTCCGGATTAAAGACTTTTGACTGTATCATCCAAAATTAAATATACATTACAAATCAGATTCACTTTTGAATTTCTTGCCCCATCCCCTTGCGGATCAGTTAAAAATGCATGTACTTTTTTAACTTTTAAACATGTACGAATTAAAAAGGAAAATAATTAAAATGTTGCCCAGGATTTCGAAAATAAACTAAGCTTTTCATCCATCTATGTATAAATAAATACATAACAAATTCTACAACAAAAATATTTCTTATATCTAATAGCATTTTGAATTTCTAATATCAAACAGAGCTTCTCAATCATTTCCAAAGGTTTTTGGCACTAAATACTTATTAGATTAAAAAATAATATATATACAGAGAGAGAAAATAAAATCAACTATTTATTTACAAAGCAAATGTTACAGCATATAAAATGATTCACATGCGTCATGAGCTATAAATAAATTTTAGTATGAAATTTGATGTAATTTTTTTTTTTAAAGTTTTTTAGCTAATGAGTATTTTGTATTTTTGAATTAAGCCATCTTGAAAATGAAAGAAAATATTATTCCTCACAAAAATACTGAAATTTATCACTAAAATTAGGTATAGTATTGTTTTGATAGTTATTATTGGAGTAAAAAATGGTATATAACAATAATAAATCATTTTTAATGATCTTGCATTTTTCAATAAATTTGATGCAAATTTACCAAAAAGTTATAAATTTTTTGGGGGGTATGTGTGCTTTTTTAAGCTAAAATGGACTGCTGTGCACATGGAGAGGAAATCTAAAAAAAAGCTTTATTATAAATATTTTTTTCATATTTAATTTTGTTAACTTGTCTTAGTGTAACAGCATTTATTTAAATAGCTGTTTTCTTTTGTGTCTTAGCCTACAAAAAATTAGTGACCGACAACTGGTGACTTTTGCGAAAGGGGTACAGATTAAGTACCGAAGATACTACACTTGGTTCTCTAATAAAAAGCTTCTTGAGTGAAGTCATCAAGATTCAGGAAAAAATACAGAAAAATTTTTAGGCTTATCTTAAAGCTCTGGAATACTCATTTTAAACATTATTTTCCAACAACTCAAGTGAAGGTGCTTTATGATTTTAAATGCGTTCTGAACACATTCAGAACCCAATTATTCTGAAAGCCTTTCTTATAAGTTTTATTAATGTTTTTTGTTTCACCCTCGAACTTCGGTTTTTTCTTCTTTAAATATATCAACTTGTGTTTTGAAACATTTTGCCCTTTTATTATCTTTAAGAATTAAAAAATTCATTCTCATGTTCTTAGGCTGTGAAATAAATACTTTGAAAAAGAATTGAAGAATTGTACATATTAACATTATAAATTCTATCAATTACACATTTGTTTGAAGATACATGTAAATATATTGCTGCTTTGAAAATTAACTACTATTTGCTAATATTGTACAAAAAAACTAATACTTAAGAACTCTTATTTATCAGGTATCAAAGTGTTACAGTTCCCATGGAGTAAATGTATTTTTCCCGAACATGAATGATATAAATCAAACACATCTTTATAACCATGATACTTCCACCACTGACACAACTGTCGATTCCAGGTACAAGGCAAGTGATAAAACAAAGAAGGATATTCCAAATTAATTAATGAATAAAAGTCCTGATCTCCCAGATGACCTTTAAATTTGTACTTTTCTACCAAGTACAAAATAAAACTTGAGTTATTCACAATTTTGTTATACAAGTCAGAATTTCTCATTTTTTCCAAGTCTAGAAGTAACACACCACTATTGAATCCAGTTTTACCATCAGGTGGTGGACCTCCAGCCAAAGTGTCATTATAGATGCGGCGATATTTATGCAACACATGACGATAAACAGGCTGCTGCTCTCTTGCAACACCTATTAATGCTTCAGTTGGAAATTTATTAAAATAATCATGTAGTTCTTTGATATCATCTAGAAATTTGACATCAGCATCTACTATTATAAGTTTCTTCAACAGCATAATTTTAAATAAACCAACTGAAATAAAAAACAAACCATCACTATAATATGCACCTTGTTTGAAACTGAACAATGGTTGTATTGTATTGATAAGTTCTTGCAGAGGTTCCACAAATGCATTTACATCATAAAAGCTCACCTAAAAAATTAATCATGTTATGATTTGTATAAATAAATACAATATTAAAACATAAACTGCATTTAAAACATTTTAAAAATCAAGAAATTTTATTTAGTGAAGTAAAATGTTTTATTAAGCCATAACAAAACATTTTACTTCGCTAAATAAAATTAATAATTCCCCTCCCCCCATTCCTTAAGTCAAGACCATATGTAAAATAACAAGTTTATAATTACACATTACAATGAACTCTAAATATAAGTTTTTAGAAAGAACCATGATAAATTTAATATAGTTAATTAATGCATTAAATATTAACAAGATATCCAGAAAAATAATGGATCAGAAGCCCCTCCCCAAAATATATAGAAAATCCTGATTGTGCAACATCAAGAGATATTTTTAACTCTTTTAAAGGTAATGCTCTAACAACCCAAGCTTAGAGCTTGTCTTGCCACATAAATACTTGGCTTTTTGGTTTTCTGGACTTCTTGAATGAGTTGTCTGAGTATCTGTCTTTTGTAAGTGGACCTTTCCCTCTTTCATTCAGCATCAGTGCTTCCATTCTTGGTTGTTATTTTAAATAATGATCTTAGTACTACTTTCATCCTAGTAGTTTGTTCAAGGGATGAAACTGAAAAGTGGTAAATGCATAACAAAGGACCTAATGGGAAAATTACCACTTCAGTTAGATAAGTAACTATTGGCTTTCTGGCATGTACTTTTTATTGATAGAAATGTACTTCCTGTGGCCACTTAACCTGCGAGCACACGCGACGGGTATGTCATACCCATGTGCATTTTTCTTTTTGTATATTTCTCGCCTATTCTTTCATAAAAGGATGAAACTTGGTGTAGCTGAGTTCAAGGTCACATACTTAAAGGGGGAAATTCCTGAGGTGGCAAGTGCAATGGTTTTTTAGGACCAGCATTGTTCGGGCATGTCATACCCGCGCGTGTACTGGCGTTTCTCAGTGAGTCACTTTGCAACTTCTCGTTTTCAAGCTTTTAGTATAAGTTTTTTTTGAGTTGTAAGCATGGAGCCGTATATTCCTTACGATGAAGAGATGAAAAGATTGAGAAATCTCCTTGAAACAGTTTTCTGATGAGGATTCATTTAGTGAAGAAGAGGAAGATGTTGATGACGAAGAATATAATTAGTAATCATGATTCATCCGTATAGAGCAGTGATTCAGATACAGAAACAGAAAATGAAACTCTGGAATGTAGCAATGAGTTTTATGTTGGAAAAAATGGAAGTAAAATGGAACAAACAAATTTCCGGACTAATGTTAGAATTGGGCGCCAAAAATATTATAGCTAAACTCCCTGGAAATACAAAGTATTCTAAAGACGTCTCAACACCATTAGAGTTCCTTGTCATTGCTTATCGATGAAGATAGTATGTTAAAACATGTAGTTGATAAAACAAATATTTATATTGATTCAGTACGAGAAAATTTCACTCGTGAGCGGGATGAGTACTTTTCTCAAAGCCTTAGGATGCAGCTAATAGAAAATGTTCAAAATGAACGATGACGGCATCTGTGGTTCCTGATTCTGGACGAACTCTGACCACCGATAACATGGTTAACAATGGACCGCCCTCCAAAAAACCTGAAATGACTTACAAGAGGTTGACATAGTGCTCCAAGAAAAACGATAGAAAGACTAGATTCATTTGTGAAAATTGTAGCAAAGTATATATATGGAACATATGACCCATTTTGTAAACAATGTTAAAAAAATTGTAAGTAAATAATTTTTCCTCTCCTTATTGTTTCCTATTTTATCTAAAATGAAGTTTAATTGGTTTTTACATTTTAATTTCTTTTAAAAAACGATTAATTTTTTTCGGCAAATTTTTATTTACAATATTTTTATTCGGGTATGACATACCCGGCGCGTGTTCTCGTGTTCGTCGGATAGGTGTGTGTGCTCGCGGGTTAATTGCTTAACTTAGTAACCTGCAAATTTCAAATGTTGTCAAAGATTTAGATGGTGGCACTTCTTTTATTATGAATTTTTTTTTTATTTGCTACACACTTTAAGGAGGAAATAATTCTTTTTATATAGAAAGTCACTTCATGCTTATTAGGGAATACAAAGTCATATAACAAAGCAAATTTTGTTTCAGGCATTTTACCCAAAAGTGAATTAACTCTATAAATAAGAAGCTTAGAAAATTTTATTAATCTTTAGTTTTCGTTTTCTGAAACTGGCTTAAACTAATACAAAATTTAACTGTCATTTAGCTGTCACACTACGACCAAGTTAAATGTTTATCTACTCCCAATGAAAACTGTATACAAATAAAATGGGTAATGTATGTTTCATTATTAATATGTTTCAAATCATTTACAAGACACTACATTCCAATTAATGCCTCATCTGCCACATCTTTAAATTTGTAATACTGCTACATTATCTCTAAATTTATAAAACACTTATCACTGCATAGCAGTTAACAAACTAGCACTTACAACCAGAAAAAAATATCAGACACGTTGACAGCTCCAATAGTTTTACTGTTAGTCTCCTACTTTTAAATATGTTACTTGCTATTAAATTTGTACACATTCTCATCTGAACAAATATTACGACAAGAGAAGGATAGGATATAGTTTAACTCAAATCTAACTGCAAATCAAATTTAAGAATAACTATTAAAAGGTCACATTAATTACACAAATAAACTTAACCAAAATAAAAAGTTAAAGAATTGCAGAAACTCACCAGGGTGTATGTACACCAGGGGTGTTTGTGCTCCGGGGAAACCCCAGAATTCCGGGGATTTTGAACTTCGATACCCAGAAATCGGGGAAATTCCGGGGATCGTCGTTCAAAAGGAAGTAGGAATAATAATGAATTATTTATTTTGATCTGGGTAATTTTGTTTGCTTTGAAAGCAGAAAACGCAAGGTCAGTGTGTGTGGTGAAAACTTTTCCTTTCTTTCTCCAAAGGCAGTGATGATGCGTGAAAAGGGGGAAAAAATTTCTTTTTTTTTTCTTTCCTTATTGCGAGTTATGACTCATTCCCCCGGTTCTCGGACATTCTCTTCTGGATTCTTTTCGACAAGTAGGCGCAGCAGAAAAAAAAGGGAGAGACTTCGTTCGACCAGATGTGCGATCACGTGACTCTGGGTTCAAAGGTCTTATCTCTCCTGGCGTGGCGCCAATAAGTAGAGAAGGGGGATTTTTCGCCGTATTAGCAATTTGACATTGATCACTTCTCAACTTTTTTTTCTCCGCTGGTGTAAAATTTTCGTTTCATTTATTGATGCACGTGTAAATTTTCGTTTTGTTATTGAAATATTTTTTTATTTATGTCGCAAGAGAATTTACTATGAAATTTCTCGATAGAAATAGTGATATTATACATTAGAAGAAGGTGTCCGGAATGCATTTAGGTGGAACTAGTGAAAAGTGCATTCAACTTAATGGATACACTTGTCACTGACTATAGAACCTCTCTTAAGATTGATTCCCTAGATGCAGTGCAGACTATTAAATATGATTTAATGGCTTCTAAAGAAACCTCATGTGAAAAATATGGCTCAAAAAATCCAATGACTGATCCAATTCACAAAGATCTCTTACTGAATATGAACAGACGTTGGAAAATATATCAAGAGTTCAGATGAGTCACCTATAGAAGTCTGAAAAACCTTCTCTTAGCAGAAAAGCAACTGCTTACCTCTGCATGTGCAATTCGGAGAATTCTTCAATGTAAATGAGGAAAATAAAGTCAACTTCCTGCAATTATGAGTTCGCCACAAAAAAAGACAAGCCCACAAACATCCAAAATAAAAAAGCAGCAGAAGAAATTAGATAATTTTTTTAAAGAATTAACTCAGGTAATTTAAAATATTTACATAAAATGTAGTAGTTTATATGTTTGAAAATTTATGGTTATTAATTTTGAAAAAAAAAGTAATTCATTGAACTTTTAGGTCATTCAATACTTCATAATTGTAATTTTTCATTTCTCTCCCCCCCTTCTCGAAACTCCAAAATGTCGGTAATAAGTCCGTAAAAGTTTCAGGGGATTTTTTGGGGTCCCACAAACACCCCTGATGTACACATCAATCTGTTTTCACTTAAAAAAACATCCCAGAATTGCACAAACTAGGCATTGCACACTGCCTTAAATTTGTTTATGTACACATCAATCTATTTTCATTTAAAAAAAATCAGGAAGCTTAAACAAAGTTAAAACTCTCATGGTAACCAGAAATGAGGTTTCATTGGCAAAATAATTTTAAAAAAATTATCGCTAATTGAATGGACACCCAATTTCTACACTAGAGCCAACACTTCACCTCCAAAATACAAGCATTTAATTGGATTATGGGAAAAGTTTAAATAGGAGAACTCTCTTTCATCTGCATATGGATCTAAGACATTAGTATCTAAGACATAGTATCTACGACATTAGTGAAACTTTTTTTAAAATCTGTTTCCATGAAACAGGCCTTATTTTCTTCCAAAAAACAAAGTGAAGAATTATTTGTTGCTGATGAACAAACAGTCGATGCTTGGGAATGAAATGTTATTTTAAGTAGAAAGATCACCTTTCGAAAATTTTGGTGATCGATAAACATGAAAGATCCCTTCACATTTTAAAGGCAGTTTAGAACCAAACACTCTCTACCACAGCAACTTAACTGATGCATCCAATTTCCCACTATTTTATTTTAGTAAACTTGAAAAAATTATTTGCATCAAAAGGTAAAAGCAAAAATAATCTGTTATTTATGTTCCATTTTTTAAATCTCTAAAATGTAATATACAGTATCATTAAAATTTTAAGTTATTTGAGGTTTACAGGCTAAATCTCTTTAATAAGCTCACTTACTTTTTTTTTTTTTTTTACTTTTGCATATTATTTTCATATTTCATTATTTGATAAACAGCAAATTCTCATACACACTCAGCAACAACAATCATTGTTTGCAAGACATCTTTTACTAATATTAATATCTTTTCACTTTAAAATTAAATAAATTAAAAATTATATATTTCCTTTTTTTATATCTCCATTAAGAGCTAGAGCTATTATTTCATATTTATATTAGCAGCATATTCTTGAACCTAATTTTACATATTGAAAGGAATTTATCTGTATTAAAGAAAGAGAGAAACTATAAACTGCAAAATAATAACATTTTCCCATGTGAAACCACATGTAAATAATATATCCCTGACTCATGACTGTATATATATTTGATGTCATAAACTGAAATTTGTTTTAGCTCTTCAAATTTTCAAAACTGTAAAAAAAATTAATATATTCAATAATTTTCTGTAAATGTTGTATGTATAAAAGGTGAAAGTGAAATAAATTAGAACAAATATAATAACAATAAACCTAGCCTAACCAGGATAACATATTTCAATTAAAATGACAAAAACACACATGCATTAAAAATTAAATAAATTTATAATGCCTTAACAAGCTTTTTAATCAAAGTTTTGATACTCATGAGATTTGTTTATACTTCTCTTTATTTAAATTTTTAAATACCATTGACAATTATCCTCCAAAACTGTTCATAAAGGATTCCAAAATTCTGTACTTTTAAGGATGCATTTATAAAGCGTAAGTTTTTGTTTATATTTTGTTTTAAATACTACCATCTTTTCATAAATTGCTTTAGCTTTAATATATATATTTAATTTTTTAAAAAATTACAGATGTTAGAAAATAAAAAAATTTTTTAGTCCAAAATTTTGTAATATTTTCGGGTAGTGAATCAAGTTTCTTTTCCTCAAAACTACAATTTCATATTTTAAATTCCTTTGAATAATAAACCAGTAAAATACCTCAACTGATGTTCTTGCTAGTACAGCTGTCTCTTTCATGACATCTATAGCACTATTCAAACTTATGTTGTCAGTAAGAATATGAAAATGAAGATGAAGAGTTGCATATTTGAAGAGGGAGGATATACATCGTACCAGTTTATTTTTCAATTCTGGTTTATGATCAGCATGCGTAAAGAAAAGCATAATATTAATTGCATTTGTTTGAGCATTACTGGAAAAATTTACAGCAAAATACAAAGGCTCAGTATTGTTTATGAAAGTTCGATTACTTTTTATAGGGCACAGAATACAAGAATTCGTGAAACGTGGAGAAAAATGAATTTTATCTACGAATATATCACTAACTAGCAGCAGTATAGTCGAGAAAATAAAAACTACAGCTATCAAATAAAGCTTTAGATTTTTTTTCCCGAAAGAACCACTATGAAGCATTTTGTAAATAATGACTGCAGAAGTAGTGTTGATGCTAAATTACACATTTGTGGAACATATATATTAAACATTGTCAAACACGAAATCGTTATGCTTTCATCGGATAAAAACTGTAAGCAAATCAAAAGTTGCCATTATGTTACATAAAATTACTCATTCTCTACTCTAAAACTATTCATTAAACTAAACAACTGCAAGCGCGGCTACAATTATCAAAACAAAAAGCATGTTAGCAATCCACTCAATTGACAAGCAAAAAATTTCACGAATCCCTCCCCCGTTTTTTTTTGGTCACGCACTACAGAAAGGGAGGGTTACAATTTTTGGCTTGTACTCGCACCATAGAATTTGTGATGTTCACACAGCGACAGGCCGTCACCGCCAGCATCAGTACGTATACTGTTATCCGTTAGACCAAGCAAATAACCTACCTTGGGATCATTTTAGACCAACGCTTAACATAGAAATGCATCCACGGTGTATAAAGATCTTTATAACTCGTGGCCCCATGTTTCACACATAATCCCTAAGTTCCGGAAGTGTAAACTCCGGAACTGAAAAATCTGAACTAACGCATAGCAGAGCTAATCGACACATGGAACTAACTCCGTTAGCTCAGATAAACCCCAGTCTGAACGGTCCTTTACCAAATAATATCTATACTAGACGGTATATAGACCCATCTATAAGCACATGCTGCGGCCCATTGTTACCTACGCCTGCCCTGTCGAGGGATTTGTTTCTAATACTTTAAATAAGCTTCAAGTTAATCAAAATGTGACTCTGAGACAGATTTTTCGAGCACGCTGGTTCTACGAAAATACTAAAATTCCAGAGGAACTCGATGTTAAGCGAATTGCTCAAATGAGGGCTAAAAGAGCCAAAAATTTTTCAACATTTCACATTTTTAGCGTGGATAATCGCAGATGGCCAAAAGAGCCGTACTTATGAACTTACAGTGTTTATTGATGGCCTGGTTGTATTTAATTCCTTTTAATTTATTTATTTACACATTTTTGGGTAATTTTTAACATGCTGTCTCTTATGAGCTCAATTTTTTTGTATAAATCTGTTTAAATCTATACGTACGTTTATGGATGATGACTTTTTTTAATGTTGATGATGATGTTTAATGATCTCTGACGGTGCGAAAAATCTGCTCATTCGTAAGTTGGAAGCCAGCCAAATTCTTGACAGGAGAAACGTAACTATCTGGCATCATCTCAATTTTGCGGACGAAAGTAAACATGATGAGAGTGTTGAGTATGTGTTTTGTAGCTTCCAAGGGATGGCATTTCGACTTTTAACATCTAATATTTCTTTGGCGTTGCATTTTTTCCCACTGTAATAACCAAAATATTATTTAGAGAGTGCATCTTATTGGAGAATTAAAAACGTATTCTGCTGATAATGGAGTTTAAAGATTTATTGTGTAATTTTGTATTATATTTTTGGGATAATTTTAAGCGGTATAAAGTCACTTTATTAAGCAATGATTGAAGTTCTCTATAAATGTCTTCAATTTTGCGGAATTTTGATATTCTCTTCTATTGGGATTATTTCAGAAGGACGTGTGATAAAATATAAAATTGTCATAAAAATACACTGCGTTATACTGTCTGCAGAAAACGTTGCTTAGTGATACAAATCATGTAATTGTTTTTCATTTAGTAGTCAAGAAGAGTCTTTGAGATCTAGTCAAATTGAATTCGAATGCTCACTCTACGTCTAGTCTCATGTAGAACTCTTAAACAACCCTGAACAGAATGCAGAGTTGCGCCGAAGATTACTGCTAAGTTGTATATCAGTTTTGCATTTCATTGGCAGCAGTATCTTAAGGTATGTGAATTTTTATTTGGATGGATATGCTTTTAAATTTGTATCTCTGTTTTTAGTTAATATTATTTATCTCATTTTTAATCTTATCCATTTTCCAGATCACATGAATTTTCTAGGAATCATCTCAGTTGTGCGAATTTTACATTTTGCAAGTTATGCATACACTTTATGATATTGAACTTGGGAAAATGTTAACTCCAAATCAGGTAAAATACTTAAAATGTACAAAAAAATCAAAGGTTTAAAGAATTATTATATAATACTCTTTAATTCAGATTTTAATAAATTCTAATATTTGAATTTTTGAAAGTTACTTAACTCTTATTAATTTGGCATAGTATATAATAAATAGTTGGATGTGAAAATTGCAAAATTTTTCATTAAGTATTAAGATGTGTATGGAAAAGGAAATCCAAATGTCCCTTTATTTCAAAGGGTTTTCAAAGGCCATTTTCAGGATGGAGTGCACTGCTAGCAGTCATTGCCAGTGTTTGGTAATTGAAAATAACATGAATTATTAAATTTCTATTTGAAACAGAAACAACTAACATTTGTTTTCAGCTCTTTTGGAAATATTAATTTTTTAAATAATCTTGTATACTACTATGAAATGCCGTTATTGTAATTTGCAAGAAGCCAACCAGATTTCCTCATTGGAAACTGAATATATCAACAGGGAATTAAATTTTATGTATTTTCTGCTCTTCTTCCCAACTTTCCAATAACTTAGAGAAACAATATCAAAACATTTCTGCAATGTTAAAAAAAATTATTCGTATTTTTTTTTTATACTTTCTCATATTTTTCTAAAAATATCTAATAGTCTGGCATTATGCATTACCATAACCAACTTAGTGCAGTCTGGCAATAATTTATTGAAAAATTATGATATATATTACAAATGATGATTTATTATATACATATTTATTTTATATTTACCTATTTATCACAAAAATAAATCACTAAATAAACATATTGATGGGTTTTTGTATTATTTGTTCTGGTGGAAATATCATTGCAATGGTTTAAAGAACAGATTCAAAGCAGTTGCTGTCTTAAGCAACTTCATGACAAAATCCTACAGTTCTTTAGAAATTTTACCACAGTTTCTTCAGTTGCAGACAAATCCCATAAGTGTGTAGTTTAAAATTTAAGATGAAAGAATATGATTTATTGATAAAAATCACTGGAACTTAGCATTACCCCTGGGAGGGGGGAATCTCTGTGTGATTATCCGTACCAACCTTCCCACAAACACACAAAAAAGAACATAAAATATTGATGAGGCAATGAATTATGTCCCCAAAAAAGTAGTCATGTGACAACCCAGGTACATGCATATCATCTTCCCATATAGCTTTCTCTTCTCAAGACCAGTGCCAGTGTAACTGCAAATTATGATTCATCTTATGAAACTTCCAGCATTTTAGCATAGGGGTGGACTAGATACTGTAGTTTTTGTCATCTTTCATAAAATCTCGGATTTGGCTTTCTGTATGTATATATGTAATATGCGACTTAAAAACATTGTGTGCATTTTTAGTGGGGATGCGAATAATCAGAAAGTATCAAAGAATGCATACAAAAATAGCAATGTTGCATATTAAAACCGAAGATCTTTTATGTGCATGGTTGCTAAAAGATTTTTTATGATTGCCAATGTTAGTTGCATTCTGAATATTTAATGACCTCTGATAAGGTGGTTGAGCTAGTCTGTAAATACCTTTGTAACATATTAAAACTTATTTTATGTAGTCTTGTCTCCACACTGTAATAATAATACTAAAATAATAATAATAATAATTTATGATTGGCCAAAATTATTGCTCTGTTTTTACTGTTTGAAAGAAAAGAAAAAAAATGACAGATTATAAACTTTTGTTTAGTAATTTTTAATAATAAAAAATGATGGTTAATCTTTGGATTATGGTAACTTGGCGATTTTTTGGCAAAAATTTGGCGACCAACCCTGCTACAGCAACATGCTAGTTTTTGTTTGGACGCCATTTTGTTTTCACGAAGTAAAGGCATTTTTTTTTTTTTTTTAATCAACATTTCCAACATTTTTTTTCCAATAATCTGCTAGGCGAATTACGCTTATGCTAGAACTTTTATGGAACAAAAGTGCTTAATCATGACGAAGATTAGGTGCAAAATTGGGACAAAGTGCAGAATCGCCCACTGCTTGTCGCGTTTTTACGAATTGCACATACACGGTATAATCCATGTACACGTCAACCTATTTTCACTTAAAAATACATCCCAGAAATGCACAAAAATGGCATTGCGCACACTCTTGACTATATCCATGTACACTGCTAAAGTCCTAGCTAGTAACCTTTATCGCCTTACCAAAATGTCACCAAACTACCTGTTACCATATTCCAAAGATTTGCCAAAATGACAAAAAAAATTGACATAAATGGAAAAGTAAATCTTTGATTTACATCAAATTGCAAATATGATTATGCAGAAAAGAAAGTGAGCATTATATATGAAACGTATTTAATTTTTACGTATTGTATGGTGATTCTGTAGCTAATTCTTTTGATGACTAGTGATTTTTCATATCCGTTTATACAATAATCAATTAAATAATCAGTGACACTATTCATTAGTGATAGTTCCATAGAGGTGTTCTGCATAGTTTTGCGGACAATTATCCTACCTTAAGTGGTTTGGTGTCCTTTTAGTCAGTGGAATTTTAGTCACGAGGGAAAATTGGGAAAATAGTGGACTTTGAGCCAAAATTTCTTTACCCCACACAGAAAGGGAAACCGAAGCAGGAAGTACTTTAATCGAACTGTTCTTTTTGTCGAAGTTAATCTGTCTCGTTACTCATCTGAGTAACAAAATATGCTATTTCAAAGCAAAAAGTGAAGTAAATAAGAATATTTTTTGTACTTTTCAATTTGATTGATTTAAATAAAAATGCATTTAAATGAGATGTCTAATTATAAATTTTCAATATATTTATGAAATTAGACTAGCTGGACTCATTAAAATGATCTTATAATTTTTATTTTTTATTGTAACTATTTTAGACAGCTGGTCAATAGAAATGAAGAAACTTAATTATAAATGGCATTGAAGAACAATACTTGCTAGAAAAATTAGTACTTTTCTGTTATTGGACCAGATTCAGAAATGCATCTAGGTATGTGTGGTTATGCACACATATGTATGTGCATACATACTTGCATATGTCCACACTTATATACATCTATTTCTGAATCCAGTTCCAATAAAAGAAAATTATAAAACATTGAATTGATAACAGATGATTCTTTTTTAAATTTTCCTAGGCAGTTTTGTTTCGCAGTATGAATTGGAAGAATAATTTTCTCATCATTTGCGTTAAATAATGATAATTTTATTTTTTAGAAAGGCTGACTTAATCCCTTTTGGCTAACTGGGGGGTGGCATTAAAAAAAAAGTAATTGTGATACTGTGTGTCAGTGCTTCAGGTGGGGAGGGTGAATGATATTAATGAACAATATTTGTATAAGTTTCAAGATATTTCAAAGATATGAGAATGTCTAAGCTGCAGGGAAAATGATAATTAAATTAAAAATCTTGAATGACTGGAGAAATTTTTTATAAATTATAAATTATGTTAAACAGCTTAAAATAATTAGGTGATAATTTATGAAATAATAAAATGACTGATGTATTTATAAAGTTTAAGAAAAGAGTAATTAACTAAGGGCTACAATCAAATAGGAATTCTTCATATGAATAATGAGTGTTTTTGTTGCTAAACAAGATCTAGGGTGCAAGATTTTTTGTAGCCTTTTAGGGGGAGATGGAAAATGTTAAGTTTTTTAGTCGTAAGTTCTGTTTGCTATTTTTTATATTATTCATTTACTGTATTTGAAAAAATTAAGTATGAAATTAAGTCATTTCCTAAGATTATTTTTTTTTTGGTTACATTCTTTGCAATTAATTTATAATTTTATGAATATAATGTTTTTAACATGCTTCACTTCAGTATTTTTTCTAAAACTTTCAGGACTATGAATACCATTAAACAAACTGATAATTACCATTGTTAATATAGTACAAAGTCTGTAATCCAGACGTCCATTATCTGGAATGATCTATAATCCGGACGGACCTCAAAGCCACAAACTTACGCATGCACGTAAAGCGTTTACACATGCGCGCTTCCGATAGTGAAGAAAGTGACAGAGAGGTTATTGAAAACGAAAAAATTTCGATTAACAAGTTAATCGGTATTCTCAACACAGCAATTACAGGATTTGAACAGTGGAACTTTGTAACTGAACAAGAAATTATGTCTGTTTATAGAACAGAGAATCAAAGAGAAAGTATTAGCACAAAAAAGCAACTTAAACAACTTATATTGAAAGAAATGTTTAATAAAGTAAACAAGTAAATATTAAGCTTTTTTTTTTTTTTTTTTTTTGTAAATTTTGTATTTTGTAAATTTTGTATTTGTAAAATTTGTTTAGATCATAATTGCTCCTTATTTCATAAATTATGGTTTCATATGTTTAATAATTGTATAATTTCTGCATGCCATGTTACCAGATTTAAATTGATGATCTATAACCCGGAAAATCCCCAATCCGGAATCACCGAAGTCCCGACGAGTCCGGATTATGGACTTTGTACTGTAATAGTCCTGTGTAAGTTGACCACCTTCACATAAGATTGAAATTGTCTTTTGTTTATCTTAGACAGCATTTGTTCTCTTTGTTGCATTTTTCGGTAACATGCAGAATCGGCCACTTATATGGCACGTATCGATGTGTACATGGACAAAGTCAAGGGAGTGCACAATGCCAAGTTTGTGCAATTCTCTGATGTTTTCTTAAATGAAAATAGGTCAATGTGTACAGGGATACTGAGTTTGTGCTATTCTTTGACTTGTTATTTTCAAGTTGGAGATTCTGAGAAACGTGCAAAGCTATGGGTGATTCTGCACTTTCCCCGCATTTTTTTGTATTGCTTTCAGATAGAATAGGAACCAAATTAGTGTGCAAAGCTGCTAAATTAAAGTTTGTATTAAGGTGAAAGGGTGCTAGTTTAAAAATCCAATTTTAAGCATATTTTTTGTACCATTGGTACATGGGAATGTCAGATCCAGGCCAACATTATTATTTGTATTAAAAAGAGTGGGATCCGTAATAGAACCTTCTTATTTGCGGGTTTTTTTTTTTTTTTTTTAATTTTTTATTTGTAAAAGCAGTGCAATTTTTAGAGCATATGCTTGAGAGTAGTAATATTGCGTAGTATCTCGCAGTAAAATTAAAAAATTGATGGACATTTTATTTCTTGATTTTTGTATTAACAAAAAAAAGGGTCTGTTGCATGAGCAATTAGGAATTATGTTTAGTATCTAGCAATAGCATTCAGAAGATTAAATGCAGTCTGTTTTTTGCTTTTTGTTTTAACAGATAAATTCATCTCTCATCTGTTACATCACTAATTGGAAGTATTGTTCTAATGAAGGCAGAGGTTACATGTGCATTTCATATTTGATGTATATGATATTGAATCACATCAAACAGTGTAAAGAATGGAGGTAAATTAGGTTCTAAATTTTGCTGTGGAAAAATTAAAATTTTTTTTTTTTAAATTTCAGCTAGAAAGATACCTTATGTAGTTGATTAAAAATTAAACCTCTGCATTTCCTCACCTTCCAAATTCATATATGCACCCTAAAAAAGATCGAATACTATTGTATCCCATCTTTTTTAAAATTAGGATTTTGTAATTTGGCATTAAAAAAGCAGTCTAGGAAATTCCAAAAATGAGGCTGAAAAGGAAAATAGAACATTTTTACAATTAAAATGTAAAATAGTATTTGAGTTCATGGTTTCAGATTGGCAATTTTTAAATTTAAATACTGCTGCATTATAGATGAATGTTAGGTAATGCTTAAAAAGTAATAGCTCTAGTTTAGGATATTGTTAACATGAAAGAAGAAATATAGAATTCATAAAACACTATTGTTTTTGCTATGCCACCAATTGGGGAGGGAAGTAATCCATCAAAATATTGTCAAAATATAATGAGATAAATCAATGCATTTGGTGAAAACAAGCGAAATAACTGTAAATATTAATTTTAAAGAAAATATTTCACTTATTTCAAAACATTACATCAGATCTTCACGATTCCCATGAAATACTCCATACACATAACTCTCCAAATAGTTGAGAGAATAATATTTTATTGATACTTGTTTTCACCTTATCCACTTTAAAAAAAAGTCATAATTCAGATATTTAAGATTTGGTTGACATCACAAGAGGTCATCATTTCTTTCATTGCATTCTGCAGACAGGTAAATATTTCTTTGAAAAAAATTATGTTGTATTATTCTCATGGTACTTTATTTGATTATTTGAACACATTCATACACTTTGGCAAGCAAAAGAAAATAGTAGACTGCAAAGACTCAGCCATGCGTAAACCTTATTGTATTTTGAGAGTTAATTGTTCTCTGATTTTGATACTGAAATAATAATGGACCAGGTAGGATTTAAACATTGTTGAATAAGGATTCATTCATTTCTGAATGGAAATGAATAATATTTTTGGTTTAAAAAAGTGTGTAGTTTTTCTTAGTTGCCTCTTCATGCCATTTGTTAATAATGTAATTGTTTACTATCTTTCTATTACTGTCCCCATATCCCATTTGCAGCAATACTAGTGTACTAGTAATAAGCATTCTATGCTAAGCTTAATGATTACCTGATTCTCATAATAAAGCAATCTTAATTGATAATGGAGCATCATAATAGATGTGTAGCTGGCAATCAATAATAACTTTAATAATTAGCAGCAATTATTACATTAATAGTTGTTTGATAAAGCAGTTCTCTTGTTCATAGTTTAAAATGGAGTTAGAATTGGATTCAAAATAATATTTGATTTTAAAAAACAAATTCCTTCTTTTTTTAAAATTTACTTCTTTTCTTCTTAAAAATGACCTAATGACTGCACACGTTTAGATGCATATTTCCTGTATGTACCTTTTTCATTTGCTTTTCAGTGATAAATAAAGTAAATATAATTTTTATAATGTTTTTATTGCCTTGTATTTTGTAGTAAACATATGAAGTTATTCAGTTACTCTTGTTAACCACTTCTTTACATTGGTTCGGTTCTGCATGGTCAGAGAAAATCAGAGTTGGAGAAATGAACATTTGAATTTTATTGGGAACTCTGAATTATTCTCAAGATGCCCATAAATAATAATATAAAAATCCATAATATTTTTCTTGAAATATTCATTGCATTTTTTATATTTTATTACTTCTCAACAGCATCAAGAATCTTCAGGTGAAAGTCGCATTGACAAGATGCGAAAGTTTCTCAGCTCTCCATTGATGAGAAAGAAGCCATCAGTTTTACAGCTGAAAACATTTGGCATACCTCTTGATATATTGCTACAAAGGACTCCTTCAGATCACTCAATACCTTTTATAATTACTAGACTATGCCAATATATACAGAGAACAGGTAATGTATACTTTTACTAGATTTATAGTTTTTAAACTACCTGTGATGCTTGATAACCATACAAGTAATCTGTCGTTAAGCTGCACACATTAATAAAATGTATTTAAATTTTATGAATAATAAACTAATTCATAAAGACAGTATTACACACACACACACATATATATATATATATATATCAAATCTCAGTCGATCAGTTTGAATATGACAAAGCACAAGAGCTATTTTTCCAAAGGGAAGAGATTCTTTGTAGAGTACCATCTCAGGAAAATTGACTTGTATTTATTTTGTCCATGGAGAAAACTAGGAAAATTTGCATGCAGCTAGCATAGCTTTTCACAATTCAAACTGGAATTGAATTGGCATTGTTCAGCAGTTTTAGCACTTGGCCTTTTGTTGGTTGAGAATATTCTTTATTGTTTCAAATAGACAATTTGTAGTTTCTATCACTATGTGTTTCAGTAGGAATTTAAATCTTATTGAGTACATATATGTTAGTTATTTGCATTATTATATGAATTTTATAATTAAAACAATTTATGTTATTCAGGAATGTGAAATTTAAATAAACTGAAATGTGTGAACAGCATTAATTTGTTTACATTAATACTAACATCATGAAATGGAGTTAAACATTTATTCAGTTATATTTATTGTACTTTTTGTATTTATTTGATGTTGTACATAAATCACCATTTGTGAATCTTTAGGATAACTAGTTCACCAATATCTCACCAAAAAATGAACACTAAATGCATGATTTTTTTATATAAACAAAGAAATGGCCAGTATTTCTACAAGTAAAGAAAGTCCTTGATTCTGTTAATTTATTGAATGTCATTAGTATTGTTACATTTCCTAAAAAATAATATGTCCACAGGTCTGACTCAAGAAGGATTATTTCGTATCAGTGGAAATGCACGATCTGTTGAACGTCTGAGAGCATCATTTGATCGTTCTGGTGATGCACCATTAGAAACAGAAGGTGATGTACCATCTGCAGCTGCTTTGCTGAAGCTGTTTCTTCGAGAACTTCCAGATCCAATTATACCTCTGGCCATGCATTGCCAGTTCTTGAATGCTGTCAAAGGTCTTTTTTTTTTTTTTTTTTTTCTTCCAAGAAGATATTATTCATTAAATACTGAATTTAGTTTTTCTAAATACAATGTCCATTTGCAAAATGTATACACAGTTTAATTAAAGAAAATTCAATACTTACATGTTATCTCATCGACCATGAAACTCGCACAAGGCAGTGCAAATTAGTACCAGTTATGGATAAATGTCACAACACTTAAAACATCTGCATTTTGGTTTGATTTCACCCCGATTGATTCTTGCTCAGCCACGTTTTATTAATAATGATATAAATTAACTCTTATTGCTGTGTTTATTCCTTGCATTTTGATAAAACTGAGTTCAAGGACTTTGGAATCACATTTGTAACTGCACATCTGGTCATTTATAGCTGAAGTTAAAAAACTCTTCGATTAAAAAAAAAGATATGGTACAAAGAAAAAGTAATAGATTAGAGCAGTTACCTGCAAAACATTTGTGTACTTATGTATTAACACAACCACCTTGGTGCAATTTGACAATTTTTTATAGATGAAAAGGTAGAAGTTACTTATTTAGTGCAAGTTCGTAGTTTTCACACTTTTTTTAGAAAGACTCCCAAACCATCGATGTTTATAGTAAGTTGGTAAACATTATCAACATAAGAAAAACATACTTTAGCAATTTAAAAAAGAAATTTTAATTATTAACACATTGAGGACAGTGCAGATTTTGCTATATTGCGCTACCGGAAGGCAGTAAAAATCGTACCGTGTTTTACTTGGTGTGGTGCCTTGCATACATTGTTGTGTAGCAAAACTTCAGATGCAAAAGCACAGTTTCCTTTTACTATATGTTTAGTATGTGCAGCGCTTTTTACAAGAGGAGTTTATTTTTCCTGTTATTCTATATTTGGCAAGCACTTGCACTTACTTGGTTCTATAAATAATATAAAATTGAGTGTTGACGAATAATTCTTCATTCTTTACGGATTACTAACTGCTGTTGGCATGTAGCTTGGTTTTTCATTTTGTACGCAAGAATTTGAAATTTAATAAAAAAAAAATAAATAAAATTTAAAAAAAAGATTTCTTCTGGTAAGCAAAATTATAAGACATAGCTGGTAAAATTTGCAATATATTAGAATTTTCACCCATACAAAATGGAGGAAATGAATTTTACGAAAATAAATGACTCATCAGATGAGTCTACAATTGTGTTCCACAGACAAAGATCAAGACAGATGATACTTTCATCTTCTTCAGAGGGAGTGACAATGACACTCATTATTATTTAGAAGAAAGTGACTTGCTTAGGACACCTGATAAATATACTGTGACGCTGGAGTTCTTAGAAGCTGATTCAGAAGAAAGTGATGAGGAGACAGAATGGCAGCAGGTCACAAAAAGAAGCAGTCTGTTATGTCAGTATACGAAAGACGGGATACCTACAGAAGCACAAACACCTAAAAGAAGAACTACACATTCTCTTGAGAAATATTCTGGAACTGCGAGAAAGTCGGGGAAACAGTGTCATGAATGGTATAAATCCTTATCTGCTCGATGAGGTACAAACATTGCTGCAAAGCTCAAAAAAAGGGTTACAACGTTTTGCTGATTTTGCAAAGGTAAACCACCACTATGTCTAAAATGATTTAAAAATACCCACAAAAGCAAATGAATATGTAAATACATTAAGTCTATTATAGTCTACCTGTAAAAATAAGTTTTTCAGTTTTTCAATAAAAAAGTTATTTTTAACCACGTGAAGTTTCTTCATCTAAGAAAACTGTGTTATAAAACTATAGCTGATGTGAGCCACCGGATGGTACACGCCTCCAGATGAACCATTCGTGTGTGAGCCACTTGTGGTATACACCGCCAGATAAACCATTTGCGTGTGAGCCACCGGAGTACAGGCTGCCAGATAAAGTATTCGCGTGCAAGCCACCAGTGATACATACTGCCAGATAAACAAACCATTTGCATGTGAGCCACTGGTGGTACTCACCGCCAGATAGACCATTTGCGTGTGAGCCACTGGTGGTACACGCCGTCCTCAACGTATTAAATAATGATTATGTGACATATTTTAAAAGTAAAACAGTTACATTCTTCTCCAAATTCTTTCTGTAATTTTTTTCATTATTCTTCTTTTGAAGTACGTAGTGAACTGTTTTTCGCCTAAAAAAGTCAGATAATAGTGGAGACTTGGCTTCGTGCAAACCTCACGAGTAGAAAATCCTTGCCTATCTAGGAAACACATTTCCTCATTTGTTCCCTTTAGGAAAATTTCAGCAGTTTATTCAATTGCTTGCAAATTCCACAAGTTTGTATTTTAAAGCTAAATTTGATGCAAAAAATATCACAATTTTTTTATAAAATCTGAACTTGGAATACAACAAAAATGAAGGCACTGCTTGACTGTGAAGGATTGTAAGCATGTGGTTGACGGAAGAGAGGTTATGTTCATGGTTGCCAAAGTTTTGCACATTCTGAAAATTTGGCTATTTCTGCAAGGTGGCTGTGTTAATATGTAAGTACCAAAATTTGTACTTAACAGAGCTTCCAGTAAAATTGAAGGTCCTAATAGTAGAAATCGATGAAAGCATTTTTACAAATTAAAAAACTTGAAACGGATTAAATACTTCCATAGTAGTAGCGATTTAGAGAATTAGGCCAGAGAGACTGATAAATGTTTTATTGTAAGAGTTGCAGATAGAAGTGCGGTTCAAAATTTTGTAGAAACAATTGCCGCACCTTTGATGACATCTCTCCAACTTTCAAGGCTTGATGTCAGTTAACTTTAGTGGTTGATGGGATAATACATAAATACCGGCAATTGTATATTAGTGACAAACTTAATTATAAGTTAATATTTAATCGTATGTATGATAGGTTATGTTAGGATTAATATAGGTTAGACCAAATAAGACCTTCTAATGTTAAATGTGGATAACTCTTGTAATAATCATTTATTTTGATTATTTTTTTATACATTAAATATTTTTTATGGAAATTATGTATGAAATATAACATCAGACAAATGTCCACCATTTTTCTCGATACAGAGATTGGCTTTTTTTAACACATTTTTCATTTTGCCACGTTATGTTTCTGGTTGAAAAAAGGCTGCAAAAAGTTTTCAATCATTGTTCTGTAAGAAGCTCTGGAAATCGTTTCTGGTGTTCCATCCTCGTTCTTGAAGAAATATAGGCCGATAACTCTATTGGCCATAACATCACACCAAACAGTATACTTGAATTAAAATATTGCCGATATTTACTCTGCGTCATAGCAATTGATCGTTGACAAGAATAGAAAAACTCGGTAATTTTAATGCATTGTTTTGTACTGTATGGTTCCATAATAAATTTCCAAGAATTCAGTTATAACCTACAAAAAGAAAAAAATAATTATATCAAAAATCAAAAAGTTATTTGTGTTTAACATTGGTAGGTCTTATTTAGCCCACCCTATACAATCTTCCTGTACCTTTACTTATGTAATTACCTAGAGTGTTCAAAGTGTCAGTGATAGTCATTAGTGGCCCGGCACACAGCACAACAATGAATGATTGTTTGAATAAAATTGGTCAGTGTGTCCGCGGGGACTGCTACACATGCCGCTGTAATTTCTTAATGAAAGATCTTCACTATAACCGATTTCCTGTGCTACATGACATCCTTCAAAGTCCCAAGGGCATTTAATTCACTAATATATGTCATAAATCACATATTACAGTCATAAGAGTAGTGACATATGTTCAGTTAAGCCAACATTGTACCACATATTGTAAAGATTATTCATTTCAGCTTTGAAACCAGCATGCAAATACTATCTGTTAAAATGTATATAAGATTTTCTGATAGACCCTGTATTATGATCCTGAAAAATCAAAATTTGAAATAAACTGTATCCACTGTTCTGGTTGATGTGCTAATTATTCTAAGCTTAATAAAATATTAACAGTGACAAAATTTGAACAAAAATTAAAACGTTTCAAATTAAATTATATACACTACAAAGTCCGAAATCCGGACATCCATTATCCGGAATGATCTGAAATCTGGACCTCAAAACCACTAATAATGTTTTTCTTGTAGGCTTTTCGCATGCGCATTTGATTCTCTCCTCCACGCATAATAAAACATCTGGAGAGTCCCGATTCTTAATTTCACTTCGACACTAAATAAAATACCTTGTTATTGAACAAACAATCATTTTAGCATAAATTTGTATGCAGTAATTTGGCTCTGTTGCTGCATATCTGCTTGGCACACATTTCAAACCGAAACATTCCACATAAATACATTGTTGATCTGATGTCAACCTGGCAAATAATTATTTATTATACTTTTCTTTCATCACCGCATGTTCATCAACACATGACAACTTGAGAAATGATGCCTAAACAATTTATGTTAGTAATTGAATAACAAAGGAGTATAGTAACCTATTATGTTGACATTATGTTTGGCAATGATTACAGATTTAAGGTAAATGCGCTAAAAATGTTGACTAGGAAAAATTTACCAAAAATTTCTTTCCATATGCTAAAATAGATTTTGTTGATGATACTTATAGACCCAAAGATTACATTTGTAGCTATTTGAATTAAGAATAACTGATTTGTTATTCACGTAAACCCAGAACCAGCGCCAGGACTTGCAAGGCAGCACTGGGTTGCAGAATTTAGGACCCACAGAGATTGCATCAGGCAGTAAGATATCTAGCGTAGGCCGTCAATAAGGCTTAAGTATATGTGGGAATTTATTTATTCAGAACTCTGGTAAGCATTAAGCATGTGCAAGAAATAGACATAAGTATAATAAATAACTAAACTAATACAATTCAACATTAATTGTCTTAGTCACGATAGAAGCAAGATAAAATGTAATGGAACAACTTGTCATTAGTTGCCAAGCTTATGGTGCATAGCTAAATATGTATAGTGAATGACAGCTAAATTTGATGATGATAGCCGTGAATTAAAAAAATTTTCGGATATCGCAAAACAAAGGTGAAATTTTCCAATTAATGGATTTTGTAAAGAAATGTGGAAAAGCGGTAATAAATGAAGATGATATAAAAGAAGTTTTTCATTGTGATGACAATGCTTCTCAGTCATCAATCAGTTAATGAATGACAAAATCTGTAGTATGGTTCTAGATCCAGAAAATACCGCTACCAATAGTGAAGAAAGTGACAGAGAAGTTAGTGAAAACGAGAAAATTTCGATTGACAAGTGAGTCAAAATCTAAACACAGCTGTTACAGGACTTCAACAATGTAACTAAACAAAAGATTAGGTCTGTCTACAGAATTAAAGAGAAAGTATTAACACAAAAAACAAAGCAACTGAAACAACTTGCACTGAAAGAAATGTTTAATAAAATAAACAAATAAATATTAAGCTTTTTTTTTTGTGTGTAAATTTTGATAAACTTTAGATCATAAATACTTCATTGTTTCATAAAACAGGATTTCATATTTTTAATTTCATAATTACTAGATTTAAACTGATGATCTTATTCGGAAAAATCTCAAATCTGGAATAGACGAAGTCCTGTAGAGGCCGGATTTCGGACTTTGTACTGTATTTTATTAAAGTTCTGCAGTATGCTGCAAAATTAATCAATTAATCAAGAGGTAGTAATTAAATTAATTCATGAGAGGTAGTAAATTCATGAAGGTGTAATAAATACACATGTTAAAATAAAAACATAAAATTAAAAAATTAATTAATTAATTGTTAACAAAATTAATAAATTAATTGTTAACAAAAACATTTAAATAAAATTTAAAAAACTGAAATAAAATATTAATATATATATATATAAATGTATCACAAATTATTGAAAATTCCTTGGTCTTTTTCAAGGAGCAGCCAAAGAATTTTAGCCGAACACAGCACTGAGTTATAGCTATGTGATTGTTGATACTGGCAACATTTTATAGGAAATTGAAATAAAGAAACTTGAGTTTAAAATAATTAAAGGTCTTTCAAAGTGCAACAAGATAAATATTTAAGAAATTTTTAATTTAATTAATCATCAAGATATAACCTGCTCTGACAAAATGTTTATAAAAAATAATAATCATTTAAAAACAATGAAAAAATCCTCGAGTAAGAAACTAGTAAACCATTAAGTTATTGGGTAAATCAAAAGTAATCTCTAACCAATTCGCAAATAATAAATTATTTGAATTTCAAGTTAGAAACCTGAATAATTATTGGGTAAATCAAAAGCAGTGTGCTAAAAATATGTATATAAAAATAGTAAAGAGAATAAGAATTTCCATCGGGAAGAAATCAAGAGCAGTGTGATAAACAAATACTATTAATTAAATTTTAAACCAAAGAAAAAACAGAACTAAAAAAAAAAAAAAAAATCAAAGCAACTGTTATAAAATGAAAGCTGCAAAAATTGTAAATCACAATTAAGAGGAGAGGATTTAATTCAGGAAAAGTAATTAAAAGCTAAGTCTATAAGAATTTAAAATAATGCTGAAAAGTTACTGAATTGAGGAATAAAAATAGGTGGCTTATATCCTGTAATGTAATATATCTCAAATGTAAAATGTTTGAAATTGGGAAACAAATAAAATAAAACTGAATTAATTACATCAAACAAGTTAATAATTTCAAATAAATTAATTTGGAAAAGAAAGAAGTAAAACTGTATTGAAGCAAAAAAGTTCATGGTGATGCATGAAAAATAAATTTTGTATAAAGTTTATACCATAATGATGGAAATTATTTAAAAGTTTCATTACGTGCTATGTAGAAATTTTTGCTATATTGCAAACTGATACTATATTCTAGTACAGGCATTGACAACTTGACAACCTGTTTTTACTGTGGGTCCAAATTAACCAAAATGTGTGTATAAGAAGACATTTTGGGTCAGTGGTATTTTCATGTTAGAACAGTCTTTTGTAGTGAATAATAAGATTAATTTTATTGAGAAAGTAATTACAGTATGCTTTAAGCGTTCAACACAAAAATTAAAATTCTAATTATTGTAAAAACAAACATAATAAAGTGAACTTTTTCTCTTTTATATAAATGGTTTCCCTGATGCTGAACTTATGACGTCACTTTAGTCAAGCCTATCTTATAGTTAGCTGTCTTAAAATGAATTCAAACATCTGAATTTTCAGTAGTTAAGCTTACTTAAAATGAATTTCATGTGTGAAAATATTTGCTCACATTTATAGGTTGAACCGAATGTGGACAAAATGGGAAAGTCAGTTTTTTGAAATTATTAATTATGGATCAGCATTGTCAAACTTATCAATTTCTCCTTGAAATTATGTAGCAATTTTTAAACCATGCGCAGAAATATCGGGTGAGTAGTAGCAGAGGCAGAAGATGGGAAAAGAAGCAAGAGTGATTAATTTGAAACATATATTGGACATGAATACTAATGATGTATGACAGCTTGAATGTTACAACAGATGCTTGAAGTTTGCACCCATCAGACGCCAAACATGCCTGACACTGACGAATTATTTGAATGCCACGAATTATTTGATCTTTCTGGAGCAGGTTCTTCCCAACTTGCTTGACAATGTTCCACCAAATGTGAGGTGTAACATGTGATTCCAACATGATGGGCCACCTGCTCATTTTGGACTGGATGTTTGTAGCCATTTGAACAGATCATTCCCACATCGATGGTTTGGGCATGGTGGACAGTTCTCTGTCCCACATGCCCACTGGATTTATCGAGCCTTGATTTCTTTTTGTGGGAATCAATTTAAAGTGTCGCATATCATGATCCTGTGTCTGAAATGGATCTCGTGGCAATACTCGCCTGTGCAGCTGCTACAATCAAAGAAACTCCCTGTGTGTTTGAACATGTTCGGCAATCAATGGTCCGTCGGTTTCAGGTATATTTGGTGTCTGATGGTACAAACTTTGAGCATCTGTTGTAACATTTAAGCTGTCAAAACACCATTAGTAATCGTGTCCAATAAATGTTTAAAATTAATCACTCTCTTGTTTGCTTTCCCATCTTCTTCCTCTGCTACCACTTACACCTGACATTTCCGGGTATAGGCTCCTATGCCATGCTTAATCCTTATGATGTGCCCTACCTTCCCTAGAAGTTTGTATTGCAACATTTACGGTACACCTTGTATATTTAAAATTTTTCTACAGATTTTTTTTATACCTTGCTTATACATATGTGTAATTATTGGTAGTTAGTAATTATTATTAATATTGACAAATTCTGTTAATATTTTATTTTTTATTTTGTTTATGAATTTGAGAATTCCATAATTTAATTTTCTTTTGCATTTCTTTGGTATTCTTCATTGATCACTGATGAGGATCTTAGCTAATTATGTTTCTCTAAATTACTGCTTTTCAGACTTTATCAAATTCGTAATATTAAGCAGAAATAATACATTATCATTTTTTAAGAATTTTTTTCTTTTAAATGTTTAGATAAGGATAAAGAAGAAAGTGTTGCATGCCTTACAGACCTTGTGGAAAAATTACCATCTGTTAACTACAGTATTTTGAACTATTTGTCCTCTTTTCTGAAGCAAGTTTCAGATTTAGAGGATCAAAACAGAATGAGTGCCTCTTCTCTCGGAATTGTCTTTGGACCCAATCTATTCAGGTAATTATTTTGTGAATATTTTCCTTGGACTGGCTCAGTGCCTTTGATTGATATCAATGTAGTTTGATCAACCAAAAATTGGGAAACTGGTTAATCTAAATGCTGATATAAATATATAATTCTAGAATGAAATACTGATTTTAAAAGACATGGCAATATTCTAAGCATTTTCTGTATTTCAACTTGCATTCAGTTGGGTGCTATATGATTATATAAGTAATAGCCTAATTTTCATTTATGGCTGGTTCATTGGTTGTTACATTAGGAAAACTAACAATGCTTTCTTTGAGGCTTAACAAGAATCTTTCTCTTTTTTCTTTTCTTTTTTTTCTTTTTGTGAATTGTATATGTAATAACATTAAAAGAGGAAATCAAAATGTGCAATTTTGATTTTAATGGGTAGTAGTTTTTTTTCAATTAGGCAGAAATTCCAGAAAACTGTGAAAAATACAAAAGTTTTAAATGAAAATATCCATGCAGTTCATTATATTCAATTTTCATACTTATGGTGTAATATTTGCATTTCAGCATTTTAACATTTGCATGCAGTATCCGTGTTTTTCTGCACTGTACCCGTGCACATTCATTATAGTGCAAGTATAATGAACTTTTCACCAAGAGACTCACTTGCATGTGTGCTTCGCTGTTCCTGCTGGTTTGTGGTCGAAATTTGACGCTAGCTTATCATCATGTATTTAATTTCATATTTTATCTTTTAATTTTAAGTAAATTCTATGGTTTATTTAAGTCTTCAGATTTCCTTTTAATGAACCTTTTGACAAGTTTGTAATATTGAAGCATTAAACCATCGCCATGTTTGGTGACCAAAGAAGAACACTGCGATTATGCATGGCCAGAGTGAAGTGCTCGAAGAAGCTGAGTATTGAGATCCCATGGCAACAGTATCTGTGCAAATGATTATGGAGCTACAAATCAGGAATATTTCAGTTAAAGTACTTATTACTTAGTATGTTCAGATTGGATAATTGTTTTCCAGGTTATCATGTGATTCAGAGTGCAGGTAGGACTGGTTCATGGAAATTGATTTTTCTTTTGTATTAATGTGTGCAGTATTCTTTTATGCAGCAAATGTTTTTAAATATTTTCATTCCAGTGTGTATTCCTAATAGGTACAGATGTGTGATAGGTTTTCTATCCTTTTAATGTTATGTTTTGATATTAATATTTGTGATACTTAGTTGTAGGTAGTTGGTCATGCCGTGTAATGAAAATTCTGCTGATGACATTGCAGCTGAAAGTGCAGTGGCTACACATGTGCTGCATGTTTTGGTAAAACTACCTCCTTTTTGGAAAACAAGCTCTGCCTTATGGTTTGTCAGATTGGAAGCACAGTTTTCTCTTTCTGACATAACTTCAGATTTCAAAAAATTTAATCATGTTGTTGCTGCTGTGGACTCTGAGTGGTTAAACTCTGATATAGTGTTGGTGATATTATTTTAAGACCTCCCGCTAGTGGAAAAGATGATGTCCTAAAACAAAGATTGATTTCAGTGCTTTCTGAGAACGAAGCATCGGAAATTTGTATTTTATTGCAAGGTTTAGAGCTTGGCAACCAACGCTTTTCTCAGTTCTTGACTCATATGGAGGCTTTGGCAGGTGATACCGTAAGTGAACCCTTGCTAAGATCTTTGTGGCTTTCAAGGCTTTCTAATAGTACACAATCTATTTTAGCTGCTCTTGGTGAAGATGGTTTGAATAAATTGGCTATGGTTGCTGATAAGTTTACTGAGCTCTCATCTCATTCTTATGCGAATATGGCTATTGTGACCCCTGAGCCAAGTAAACCTGCTATTACTCGTTTGGAACTCCAGGTAGCACAATTGACTAAACAAGTTAGTGAGTCAATATCTACCTTGGGGTATAATTTTTGTATTCCTAAGCATAATTTTCGTTATTCATTCTGGTGCAGCAGGTAACACAAACATACTAATCGTTATAAAGAAGGAGCAAATGAGCTTTGCTTTTATTATGTAAATTTTTGGGAACTGTCAAGGAAATGTCAGTCTGTGTTCCTTTTGTCAAAACGAAAACAAATAGGGCAAATGTTTTTTGGCCAAAATAGTGATCGCCAGGTGAATCTTACACTCATGGCCGACACCTCTCCAGAAATAAAATATTTAATTTATACTGGTGCAGATGTGTTGGTATTACCAAAAACAATATGCTCTTTGTTCTAAGCCTTCTCAGAATTTGGTTTCCCGCCTATGGAATAAAAATTCCCTCATTTGGCACTAAATACCTTACTTTGAATTTAAATATCCATCATACTATTACTTGATTATTTGTCATCGCAGATGTAAATCAGCCCATTATAGGTGTGGATTTCCATAAGAAATATGGATTACTTGTTGATGTTGCTAATAATTGTCTTATTGATTCTAAAACTAATTTGTCACTATGTGGTAAATTGTTTGGGAATTCATTTGATTCGGCCATATCTGTATGTCTTGGGAATTCTAAATTTGATAGCTTACCAGCTGAATATCCCAAACTCACTAATCCTTATTTTGTAACCAACAATAGCCAGAATCATTATACTGAGACTAAGAGGTCCTCCTGTGTTCTCAAAACCTCATTTGCCACCAGATGTATTCCAAACGGCAAGGCAAGAGTTTGAGTTCCTTATGTCACAAGGAATCATTCAGCCATCTAAAAGCCCTTGGGCCAGCCCTCTTCACATAGGCCGTAAAGCTAATGGTGATTGGCGGCACCCTTGTGGTGATTATTGTTGCATGAATATATCCTGTACCAAATATTCAAGATTGTACACAGATATTTTTTGGGAAAATTTTTTCCTCAAAACTTTATTTGGATAGGGCATACCATCAAATTCCTGTTAATCCAGAGGACATGTCCAAAACAGCTGTGACCACCCCAATTAAATTATTTGAGTTTCTTAAACTGTTGTTTGATTTACGAAATGCAGGTCAAATTTCCAAAGATTTATTCTTTAACCTTTTAACTGGCAAGTTATTTTGATGATTTGGATGCATAAATTGTCAATTTTTTTTTATTTCAAAAATGAAATGTTTGTCTCGCAATAAAATTTTTTTGCGCACTTTGAACTTTAACCTCTGTCCTTTGAAACCTTTAATAAAGTGCTGCCATCTGTTGAATTGAAGCTGAAATAATCTTCTCACGATATATATTCGGATATAATAATACCATACACTTAAAAAAAAAAAAAAAAAAAAAAAAACCACATTAGCCCGAGTAATATTTGGGTGTGACATTTTATAGTACCAGTGCATCTCGGGCATGACAGTTAAAAGGTGAAGTACTTTCTGGTTTAGACTTTTGTATTTGCTACTTTGATGATCTACTTTTGGCTTCAGCAGATGAAAAGCACCTTAGTTTAATTTTTGATAGACTGAAAATATATGGGTTAAAATTGAATCCTGGTAATGTGTTCTTGGAAAGTCATCAGTATAATTTCTTGATTTTTTTTTAATTACTCCTTCTGGTATTCTGCCTCTTCCTGAAAGAACTTGCAATAAACTTTTCTAGACCTGTAGTAGTGTCTAAACTAAACAGATTTTTGACAATGTTGAATTTTTATCAGTTATTGTTTCCTAAGGCTGCAACTATCCAGGCACGGCTTCATTCTGTTTTAACAGATTTTAAGAAAAATGATAAACGTCTTATTCGCTGAAGAGAGCTCACCAGTGGCCAAGCGGTAAATTCGCTGGTAGTTCAGTCCGAGGTTCGAATCCCGCAAACGGGCTGGCTGCATGGGCGTTTTCATGGTTTTCCCCATGTGTAACGTGTATACGAGCCAGTTTCCCTTAGAAAGTCCTCCACGAAGGCATCCCTCTTAGGCAGATAGCCCTCGAGGCTTTGCCATAATCACACACACACATACTCATTCGCTGAACAGTAGAAACAACTGCGACCTTTGAAAAACTTGAAACTGACCTAACAAATGCAGTGACTCTTGGTTGCAATGTTCTTGGTCAGCAGTTGCCATTAATGGTAATGTCTCAGATGTGGCTATTGGAGCTGTTTTACATTCACTATGCTATAAACATCTTCAACCACTAGCTTTTTTTCCCCCTCCGAAAACTAACTTCAGCTGAAATTAAATATAGCACATGTAATAGAGAATTACTTGCTATCTATTCTACTGTAAAACATTTTCAACATAATTCAAGGGACAACATTTTACAATATGCACAAATCATCACGCTCTAATATTTTTATTTAGAAAAATTCAAATTCTGCATCCACCAGGCAGATAAGAGATATGAATTGTATTGCCCAATTCAAGACTGATATACAACATGTTCTTGCATCAGAAAATACCATGGCAGATAGATTGTCGTCAATTTCTGCTATCAGTAAGCTAGATATAACAAGTTGTGCAATGATTCCGTACTCAGTTATTGTCTACAGAAAGTAGCTCATTAAAACTACAAAAGGTGAAGCAAGCTTTTTGTTTAAATATATACTATGATTAAGTGGTGACAAGATTCGCCTTTTTATTTCTAACCAAATGTAAAAGGCAGTGTTTAATTCTCTCAAAGACTTTCTCATCCCAGTTTAAAAAAAAAAAAAAAAAAAAAAAAAAAAAAAAACACTGATATATTAAACATTTTAATGCATATTTTCTGAACAAATGATCGACAAAAAGATTCATTCTCATTTTATGTGGTCTTCTGTGTCAAAAGACTGTATTCCTTGGATTCGTGCTTGCATCGACTGCCAGAAGTCATATGGCATGCTCCCAGTCCATTGCAGTCTTTCGCTGTACCCAGTCAACATTTTGAACATGTGTATTTGGATGTAATTGGACCTTTGCCACCTTCAGAAGGATACTCCTTCCTTTTAATCCTCATCAACCAATTCTCCCAATGGCCAGAAGCAATACCAGTGAAGGCTATTTCGGTTGAAACTGTAACTCAAACTTTTTTTTTATCCATTGCAGTCTTTCGCTGTACCCAGTCAACATTTTGAACATGTGTATTTGGATGTAATTCGACCTTTGCCACTTTCAGAAGGATACTCCTTCCTTTTAATCCTCATCGACCAATTCTTCCAATGGCCAGAAGCAATACCAGTGAAGGCTATTTCGGTTGAAACTGTAACTCAAACTTTTTTTTTATCCATTGGATTTCTAGGTTTGAAGTTCCCACTACCAGTATCGATCAAGGCAGACAACTGGAGTCACAAATGTTCACTTCCCTTAATAAAATTCCTGGTGTTTACCAAATTCAGACCTTTTCCTTACCACCCTGCAGCTAATGGATTACTTGAGAGATTCCATCGTTCACTTAAAGAAGTGTTAATGTGCCGTAATAATGAACATTGGAGAATGAGCCTTCCAACTGTACTCTACGGTCTTCGAGCATCACGCAAAGAAGATCTAGGAAATGGTTTATGGAATGACTATTCGTCTCCCTACAGAATTTTTGCAAACCACCCAAGTTCTTAATTCTTCTGATCCAATTTCATTTTTACAAAAATTGTGTGAGGAAATGAGAGATAGTACCTATGCCTACATCAGCCATGCTAACAATAGATATTTTTTGCACCCAGCTTTAGAATCGCACACTCACATATTTGTGAGACATGATGCAGTTAAACCACCTCTGACTTATCCGTATGATGGATCATTTAAGGTAATGAAAAGAACTAATAAAAATTTTACTCTTCTTATTAAAGGAAAAGAATCTGTGTTCAACACTGATCACCTGAAACCAGGATTTATAGTTTCAGATACTGTAGTATCAGTTCCTGTTCCTGAACAGACTTGTATAGTAGAGCTGAATGGCACTATACCTGCAGTGTGGACTAATGTGCCTTTGCATGTGTGTGGGGGGGTACTGTGGTGGTATATTTACCTTTCTGCATTCGCAGTCAAATCCATGTTTGCTGTGCTGTACCTGTAAGCACTCATTATAGCACAAGTATAAAGTGCTTGGAATTTTTCGCAGAGAGACTTGCACTTGTACTTTTTTCCTGCTTGTTTTCTTTTTCTCCAATTTCCTGCTTGTTTGTGATCGACATAGCATCGGCTTATCATCATGTATTTAATTTCATATTTTAACTTTTAATTTTAAGTAAACTTAATTTTATGGTTTACTAAAGTCCTTGGCTTTACTTTTAATGAACCTTCTGACAAGTTTGGAGTATTGTGGCTTTAAATCGTCACCACATGCTCTTAGAAGTTCTGTATAATGGTTTAAAATAGCATCAAATATGTAGGAAGCTTGACAGCACCAAAAGGTTCATTCATTTTATTTTGTTTATAAGCTGGCATGTTATAGGGGGATTTAACTGTAATTAAGTATTTTCGTGAAAATTCTTATAGTGTAGCATTCAAGATGTTCGTGATATTGATGATCCAGGTATTATTAAAGTTGCAATGATTGCTCCTCCCTTTTTTTTTCATTAAGAGTGTTAAATGTTTTTTTCATTTAAGGTTTTTTTTCATCAAGGGTCTTCCACTTGGTGTTAAAAAAACAAATTTTTTTGAAATGCTGAATTTTTTTTTTTTTTTTTTTTTTTTTAGATTAGAATTTGCAAGATTTAAGTGACTCATCCAATAAAAAGTGTGCAAGGATTTCAATTTTCTATCTTGAATCTCTCTTAAGATTTGCAGGTTTCAAGGATTTAAATGCTCCATCCCTAACATATAGAATCTATGCAAATGGCATTAGATTATACTACAGCTTGTGCATATTAAAGCATCCCTTTTTCATTAAATTGTACAGCTAGCTACTTAAATTTTACTTATTTTTATTCAAGTAGAATTTTTGGCTTTTATGAAATTTTTCTTAAGCTACAATAAAGACTACTTTAAAAGTTGTATGACTGACATTTGCTTTTACACCTCTAACGATTCATTTACTGATGATTTATTTTGTTTGTTCTATTAAAGCTGAGATTATTTGCTACTTAATTTTCAGATCCTTTTATGTGTACACTTTTTTATTCAAACACTGTCATCTTTTCAACTGCTATTTTTAAACAATTCTCTGTGTGTTGATGATGTATGGCAATTATAATAATGAAATTGAAAATATAAATGTTGACAGATTAGGGACAGCTGCATAATTTTGGTATTTTTCTTTTACTACAAAAAACTGATTCTCTGATCAACAAATTGGTTTAAGAATAATTCCCTTAATATGATTTGATAGATATTTTTATTTACAGAAGAACTAAATAAAAATTTGCAAATTTGAATATTCTGTCAATATTGAAAGAAAATTATATGTTTAGATTTTTTGAAAATGTAATTCTCTCCACCCCCTAGAAACTTTTCTAAATATTTTATACCAGCTATTTCTTATTTCTTTTATTATTTTATTTCTTTAATTTTTTGTGTATGCAAAGTTACGTATGTTGTTTATTTATTTATTTATTTATTTGAAGGGTTACTGAAGATTTGGTTGGTCTGAAAGAACAGTCTCTCACAAATCAGATTGTCACTTATTTTATTACTGACTATCAGGAAATATTTAAAAAAGAAGACATATTTATGTGCAATACCTGTTTTTCTTCTACCTCTATTAATAGTACTAGTCATCAAGTAGCTGCTATGATGTCTTCTTGGCCTGATGTGAGTATGTTTTTGTGTCATAAGCTTGTCATTTTAAGCAAGAAAGTAATATACTTGAAGAATAAAGATTTAGCTCTAATTAAAGATTCTACACAAACCTAAAATGCTAAAAATTTGACTAGTTTTTTCTTATTATTTATTTATGGAAAAGCATATTTAAAATTGTGCACCATGAATAATATTTCAATCATAGGCAAGTATGCATTAATATGTTATAATCTCTTAAATTGTATGTTTTAATATTTATTGCTTAGCATGGAACAAAAAGTAGCAGTTTTAATTTATTAGCAAAATTACTGCTTTTACAGCACGAATTTTTCACAAAAAATTTAAATTTTTATATGTTTTGTTTATATATGTTTGTTCAGGTATTGTTCTTTCAAGAGTAACAAATTCTGCATGGACAACAATTAAGTGATCCACAAGTAATTTAAAAAGTAAAATTTGTTGATTCACAAAGCATTGGACTTAAGTGTATGTAGTTTTCCTAGAAATGTACTGAAAGATGTGGTATTTTATAATAATGAAAAATATTATTGCAAGAATAGTTACATTTTTCTTTATCTTTTGACAGTCCTGAAAAAATATTGTCCTTAGTCCTGAAAAACTAGCATTTCATACAGGACTATATGATGATCACTCAAGATCATTCTCAAGACATGCCCTAAAATATAACATGTACAAGAATTGAAATCATCCGATTACAAGAGATATCATAAATTTGTGAACTCGGCTTCTCAGCAGATGGAAAGCAATGCTTATTGGCTGTCAAATGTTTTGAAATCTGACACAGCATACATTATGCTTAATGGAAGTGAAAATGCATGTAACTACTTCATTTGGGCAATAGAAAACTCACACAATAACTGCAAGAACCCATTTGCATCATACAAAGACAACAGTGCATCATTTCATTCATTATAGTTTCTTTAAGAAAGTTTTACGACCCTATATTTTGTATTTTTCCTGACACAGTTGAGGGAGCATTATGCAGTGTTTTTAAAAAACAGCATTAAGACAGACAACTGCCGCACAATGTGACATTCTTCCAGGATGGAATGCTCCACATAAATCCGTAAGTCTTGCTCATCACTTGCTGTGATTGACATTTGATGATGACTCATTTGTCAGTTGCTCTTCCCCACATGAATGGATGTCAGCTGTCTACAGATCCAGGTGAACTAAATTTCATGGAAGCAGGCACCTAGACTTGTTAGTCTCATCCTGGGTTAAATAGTGTAGTGAGAGTGACATAATTTTTTGTATTGGCATTTCATATGAAGGAAATTGGATAGATATTCAGTATTAAAGTTCATAAAATCAGTGAGTAGAGTTTATGAGACTGTAGCAGGATAGAAGGTTGTAAGGGTGGATGGAGCTGGTGGATATAATTTAGAAAAATCAATAGTATAGTTGATATTAGTGCCGGAGAGTGAAGAATTGCCATGACAGGCTGTGTGGTTGAAGCTTAAATGGTCAAAGTCTAGACTGAAGGTAGAGTTAATTCGTACATAGGCATGGCTGTGGCCAGGTGAATTTCAGGAGAAACAGATTTGGCTGAAAGAGGAAGTGCATACAACATAGCAATTCCGGCTGTTGGCTGGGGGCAGAGAGGACTCTTTTCAGAAAACCATACATTTTGAGAGGATGATAGAATAACGCAGGGAAGAGGGTAAATTTAGAAATTAATTTTGAAGCTAAGTCCTGATTTCACATTATTTTTATGTTTATAAATATAATAAATAGAAAAACATCATAATTAGTGTTGAGAACTTTTTACATTATGTATCTTAAAATGGCATCTGAATGTTTACGATTATTAGGATCCATATAGTTATAGTCAGGGCTGTGGAGTCTGTAGGAAAAATGACCGACTCCGACTCGACTCTTGACTCCCTCATATATGTACAGTCAAAAGTCTTTAATCCAGACTCGTCGGGACTTCGGCAATTCCGGATTATCAGTTTTTCCAGATTGTAGATCATCAGTTTAAATCTGATAAGATGGCATGCAGAAATTATAAAATTAAAAATATGAAACCGTTATTTATAAACTAAAGAGCAATTATGATCTAAAGGGTATCAAAATTTACACAAAGAAAAAGCTTAATATTTATTTGTTTATTAACTTTATTAAACATTTCTTTCAATGCGCGCATTCCTTTGGCAGCTCCAGAATTGGAAATTCGTTTTGACATAATCGAAAGTTCAAGCTTACTTTTATAAAATTGCTCTAACAGTCTGCAAAAAATAATAAGCCGGATCCAATTAGAAGATTAAGGAACAACGCAATCTGCAACATTAACTGAAATAGATAATTAGATAATTTTAGCTTAGCTTATACCATCCGTTATACATTAAACATGCATGCGTAAACGTATTATGCACATTATGCTTTACGCATGCGCAGAAAGTTTGTAGCTTTGAGGTCCGGATTATAGATCATTCCGAATTAAAGACTTTTGACTGTATATGTAAAAATATTCAATGATCTAAAATTCACTGAGTTAAAAAAATACGTTTTTCTAATACTTGTGTAATAGCTGCAAAGTAAGATAATAATAATTTATTTACTAAAGAAATATTGATTATATTATCTTCTAATATAAATTTAGTAGAATGTATCAAAAAAGAGTGAACCCATATATGTAGGAAGTTTAATTCCAAAAATTGTATTTTAAAGTAACTTGAATGTAAATCACGGAAAAACGTTTTAAGGGGACTTGAATTTAAATCATGAATAACAAAATTTCAAACTTTGAAAAATAAATTAAAAATTAAAAAACAAGTAATTATCACTATTGATCGAAAATTAGTTGACTTTTCAAGGGGAGGAAACCAACTCCTGTTCAATGAACAATAATTAATAAATGCAAATTTTTTTCGTCTTTTACTCAAGTAAGAATGATGATGCCAAACTGGCAAATTAAATAACGCCAAAATTGTAGTTCTGTGATATACAGATGAGTTACAGCTTATGTGTTTTACTATAAAAGAAGTAATAGATGCTACAGAAAAAGAAAAAAAAAAAATGATGACATAGCAAATTATTTATATTAAGTAGCATTTATTATGAATTGAAAAAACTGGCAATAGCTTTGCCAAGATTTTCTTTGCTGGATGGCCATAGATCCGATTTGAAAACTTTCAGAGCTGAGAAGAGTCTTTCCACACTAACTTGAGTAAGAGGAAGAGCTGTTATTGTTAGAGCTAGTTCTTTTAACTTTTCAAGATAGATTTTTAGAAGTTCTAAATGAGGTGTCTTGCAAGCGCAATCATATTTCTCTATTTCTTCAAAGGCTGTGTAGAAATCTTGTTTGTAATTTTTCATTTTTATATGTAAAGGCTCTTGTATTTTATTTTCATTCGCTTTGCCTTAGCCTTTTCAATATTATCCAAAAACTTTTCTAAAATTCTAATTCATCAATGGAAAAGAATGATAGAGACTCAATTGCAATGTCTGCAGTTTGACTGTCCTGATTCGAATTTTCCAATTGTTCTGAGAATAATTTCATTCTTAATGAAAGTTCATGGATGACTTTCTTTGCCTTTTAAATTTGTTTGTTATCTAAGAAAATTAGGTGTTTCGGATCTCCATATATTGAACCTAGCAAGATCTCATTGTCTAGCAAACTAGTTTCTTTTTTCTTCATTGAAGAAATGATTCTTTTTGTAATAAACCCTCCATTTCAGAAAAAACAAACATACCATTCACGCCTCCTGTCAATTCTTGAGATTGCAGCTTTTTTTGTGGCTATATATGGTATAGAAAGAAGAGTTTTCAATTCTGCAAGATCATTGCACAGTCTTTCTGCTAGTGAAACATTAGAGTTATCTACATCTCTTAAGAAAGTTCTTAATTCTAAAAACCTCTTTATCATCAAATATGTATTTATCACATTGCTTGATCAATAATTGCTCCTTTTCCTGCTCGCTTGCTAAGAATGGCATCAAATTTAGGAGTTCTTGCTGCTATTGCTGCTTATCTAAATTTATCAGTGAGATTTGTAACTAAATGAAGTAACTAAATGAATCAGTTTAATCACTAATGGCAAATATGACATCCATCCTCCTCCCTTATATTTATTTATTAATAGGTCAATAAAATAGAAAATAACTATTTATTAATGTATACAGTTCATAAATAAAAATAATAACTCATCGTGTCATTAATTTTTTTCAATTCATTTTAATTTCATTTCAAATTCAAACTGTCCAACGAAAACTGGAGTTGGAGTCTGCCTGTTTTTAGCGACTCCAGCTCCGACTCCTTTTACCCCAAAATCTGCCCGACTCCGTGACTTCGACTCCACAGCCCTGGTTATAGTCGATCAGTGTGTGGAGTTGTTGCCAACCTTAATAATATTTCTGTAAAATATTTTGGCAACTTTTGCCATGTGAATAGTTATAAGGTTGATGTAAATATCAGCATGAATGGTAAGGTTTCTAATAAACCATCTGCATTTGCTAATTTCCTGTAATGTGATATTTTGTAATTTACATAGATGCATTTTAAAGAGATAATCCAAAACAAAACAGGCATAGGTAATAATAGGCCACAACATGGTCTTGTAAACTAGTACTTTATTTTCTAAAGAGAGATTGGAGTTTCGGACAATTAAGGGGATGAATTTAGCTTTAGTGTCCCCAAACTTGGAATAGATATATGTAATGTGTGGGGACCATGTGAGTCATTGATCTAAAATAACACCGAGGTATTTGATTTGCTTGGCCTATGGATTAATGTAACTGTATTCTACATGCTGATGTTGAGGTCCAGTTTCTTTTTGTAGGTGAACAGCACAGCTTCAGATTTGTCTACATTGATCTGAAATTTCCATTTGTTTAGCCAGGACTCCCGTGCTCGGATGTAACTTTGTAGTGACTGTACCACTATGATCAGAGACACATTTTGTGCCATTATTATGTCTGTGGACATGGCTAGTATAGTGTTGGGAATTTGTGGCATGTTCACATAAATTCTAAAAAGTTTTGGTCCAA